TTCTAAGTCACAAACATAACTATCTTATTATATTCCTTCCTTAATAAGCTCTAGTTATACATTGTTCCCTTGCTCTAGGAAGCTAACCCCTTCCGAAGTGGCTTACATCGGTGAAGCCAGTCGGTATAGGGAAAGTATTCCTAACAGAAGCTAAACCCTTCCGAAGTAGCTTACATTAGTGAAGCTAGTCGGTATTAGGAAAGTGTTCCTAACAATAGTAAAAGTATATTACTTATAAAACTCTACTAAAATCTTTTAAAGATAGAGTGGAATAAGATATCTTTAGATTTAAAGGAAGGGCGAAACAACACTTAAATAAATTAGTATTTAGGATAAGTTTACTAAGGAGGGGAATAATATTATGGTATACTTATTAGTACAGTTAGAGTAATATGGGTTATTGCTAAGTAATGCTAAGTAGTAGTCTTAGTCTTAATATATAAGACTTTCTATACCAGTCTCAGTCTTAGTAGATAAGACTATATATATAAGTCTTATTGGGAGCGATTGAGACTTGGTTATAAGGGATAAAGAATAGGTTTATATAAGGAGGGCTGAGCCTAAACCTACGCTTATTGTAATTTAACTATCTAGTTTATCTAGTAATTAGTTTAAATATATTTTTATACTCTTAAAGCTCAGACTATTCTAAGTTATAAATATAACTACCTTATTATATTCCTTCCATAATAAGCTCTGGCTATACCTTATTCCTTTGCTCTAGGAAGCTAAACCCTTCCGAAGTGGCTTACATTAGTGAGGCTAGTCGGTATTGGGAAAGTATTCCTAACAAGATGTTCGTCTGCGCCACTATTTTTCCAATACACTGACGGGGACCTAGGCCAAAATACATCAGATACTTTGACCTCGAAGCTGTTTCTGGATTATTCCATCTATCTAGATTGAAAATATCATGATCATTACCCCAGATCAGTGGATTGTAATGGAATGCGTGGTTGCAAACTGCGATAGACATCTAATTTCCATTAGCTTAGAAATAACAGGCCAGAAAAAGGTCGTACTCACTCCTTACTTAATATGCTCTCCTCCAATAGTTACGCCCTCTAGTACAAGTACACGCCGAGCAAGCGGCATGGTAAATACTGGAGTAATACAAAAATTCTCTTTTATGCACTGTCTCAGATATGGCAAGCATTTTTCAACCTCGCTCATTAGATATGCCGGATGTGAGTCCCCAAGTAGAGGCAATTGAAAATCAATCTCCTCAACGCATTTGGCCATTATATTCGGTGAGTGTAAAAGATAATAAAACAAAAGCAAAGTTGTTGCACTTGTAGTATGGGTGCCAGCAATACTAGACGCTAAATCAGATCATATGAACTACGCAACTGATTAATCAAAATACGTACATGAATCCAAATGCTTCTGTCTCAAGGTCTGCTCGGCTCAATCTTTCGCCAGTTTCTGGATGTTTTGCGAGAATCAAACTGGTGATTATGTCCTTTCTCCCGAGATATTTTTCATTTGTCCCCATCATACTCCTAAGCTCTTCCATTCTGCGTTGAACGTTGGATGCCGCAAGAGCAGCGCAGGCCTCACGACCTTTGAATAGGCGTCGAAGCGCCGGGATTGGGAGTTTTGGCAGCCACTTCTTCAGTCTTCTTGTCATCGCTGGCCAGGAACCTGTAGCGGCTGCTAGAAGACTGTGTTCAACGACTGGAGGGACTAGGGACTCATCATCCGCAATCTGCACCCCAAAAGATCTGCCGAATGCAAGCTCACCCAACACATCTATGACGTAGTAGTGGAGTAATCTCTTCAGATCGAAAATCTCATTACGGTCACAGAAGTTGTCTAGTTTCTGTCGAAGTATGCTAATATTTGCATCCAAATACGGTTCCATTGTCCTCACGGAAGAAATCGAAAAAAGTATGTGCCATATGTCTCCTCCTTATTGAGTGCATCTAGAATTAAAGACGTAAGATTAGGTCAAATGGACAAATTTTATGTTAAGGCACGGCTTACAGACTCGTCTCTCATGCCAAACACATTGGGTTGTGTTGAGCCGTAGGCATCATAAAATTCTGTTTTCGGGTAAAGTCTCCCACCTCTCTGGTAAAGAATGGGTATTGCGTCTTCTGCAGTTGTACTGAGCTTATCAGGGCCATAGCGAACGAATTGACCATATTTATGGTGCAACTTCGTGAGGTTGTAAGGCTGTTGGAGTGAAAGGAATTGATATACCTGCCAAAGATCGGTCAATTTCGCAATGAAGGGACCTGGATACTTGGCTAGAGGGTGAAAAAAACACACTGGTAAACCACATAGATTCCAATCAATAGAGATGTGGCAGCAGAAATGCAAAGTGTAAGCGCAAGAGGGCACATGCTCAGCACAAAAATACCAAAACTCATCGTTGAAGAAGTGTTGCGGCAAATTGTAGAAAATCAGCTTTAAATTTCTGAGTTTCTGAATTTATTTCTGCTCAGTCGAGAGAATGGTAGAACTTATGATCCCCCAATTCCAAGACATCCCCGGGATAGCGGATAACGTATTTCTAAACGCGCTCGACATCTCCCCGACTCCGGACAAGTATCACCCGATTGGTTGAGAGCTTCCCCGCAAAAGCTACTACACGTACTTGCCGATTTCAATTTGGCTTAGTACAGAACTTTTTTTTTTAGAACAAGAATTTTTGAGGGGTGAATATTTTGATTCTCCTATTGCAATTGCATAGCTTTAGACAAACTTAAAGTTAGCCTTTGATAAGTTTTTATTAAATAGCTACAAGAGCATATAACTGCTAGATATCTTTGCACCATAGATCCTGATGAGTATTAATGTAATAGATATTCTACTTATACCTTAGTTCTCTTTTCTGAAAGTAGCGATTAGATATTGACAAGACTTATTAGCTAGGTTCTTGCAAGGATCTCGTGGCAGCGATGTCTTCAACGTAGCATCGGTGGCTTTCTTCACACTTGTAGTCAATACTCTTTAAGAAATTAGAGAACAAAACCTGGCTCGTTGCTTTTTTAATAATCTACTAAGAGATTTTTAAATAAAATAAGATTTGTTCTTTTTAAAGTGTTTATGAAATACTATGTATCAATAATGAAGTCCGAAGTACTAGAGAGCATGAGCCTAGGCCCAAGCCCCATAGAAAAAATGCCCATTGTGCCTGTATCCTTTTTGACCAAAACATTTCCAACCAGAAGGCCGAGGCCTTGCACTTATGGAAGATGAGGTCTGTGCCGCGGCACTGGAAGCAGTAGTAATATTTAGACTTGGGAGCGTCGCTGCGGCGGAGGGTTTCAACGTGGGTGAACAAACAAAGCTAGTTTGCAGCGTTGAGGGTAGTACAGTAGCAATACTGTTGCTGGTAGCTTTGCCGCCATTTGTCGGCTTCCTAGCACGTGTAGTCTTGCTGACTGACTTCTTAAGTGAAATACTAGGAGTAGTTGTTGCTGTTTCAGTTCGTGTTCCGGTTCTTGTTTTGATTGTTCCAGTACCAGACGTCGCAGTTACACTCGTTGTCGCCGTCGTTTTCCCAGAAGAAGCTCCTCCAGGATTAGTTGCTCCACTGAGTATGCTTTGGAGGATTTGCGTGTTTATGGTTGCCGCTGTGACCACGCCGTTTCCATCCATCTTCAGAGTTACAGGGTTGTTAGCAAGCCCAAATATGGTGGTGCAGCCAAGAGCCGGCGCAGGCCCGAAGGACTGTGCGAAACGCTGAGCGAGAAATGTGTAGAGATCAACCGCCGTGGCTGGTGCTGGTGATGTCTTTCCTTTGAAGAGAGCTTGATTCTGAGCAATGAAGAGACCAGATTGAGTGAACTTTTGGCAATAGGTAGTTCCGGATGCATCAGCTATGACCGCGGCTTGTGGTTGGCCCACTCCTGCGCGATATAGATTGGTTTTCTGGAGAGACTGCTGTATATTTCCGTTGGCATCGGTAATGACACACATATCATCATTTAGTGGCACAAAAGCTGGCCCACTAGATGGTGGATACTTGAATCCCTGGAGTTCATTGAGTGAAAGAGCAGGAGACTTGCCACCGATCGCTGTTGGCGAAGTCACCATCCAAGGAGTGCATCCAAGGACAGGGTCGATGAAATCGTTGACGAGAGCATTATCGGACGCGTTAGTCAAGACCTCTGCATCGGGGTTGTCGTTCTTGTTGGTGGTTGTAGCCTGTGCCAAAGTGTGATTGTTAATTAGCAAGTATTGTGTATCAACATTGTCAGATTGATCCATATCAACTATGCGAAAGTCACGCGTGGTTGGACATTGTTGACCGTCTTTTCCAATACCAAGAGTGGGAACGCGGAGAGATCCGGCTGTAATGGCAGCTTGTGTGACCTAATTCCACAGGAGATTAGACTAGTATTCTCATTGACGCATCTTAATATATACTAACGTTCATGAAGACATCACCATTGCAGTGAGCAAACTATTGACGCATCTTAGCATCCTATTTCAACGTTCCCATAAAGGCGATCACTCACTTGACCAAAGATTGAACCAGGTAGTCCGTTTACACAAGAAGAGGCCCCGGGCCCCGTTAGAGTCAAAGTATTTGCATTGCTCCCAAAATAAATCGCAACTGTTGCATCTTGCGGGACGGTAGCCGCCACAGGTTTGATAAAATCTTTGCCGACGACATCGCCCTGATTGACAACAAGCGGATGGTAAATAGTGATCTGACTTGTTGCTGGATCATATATTGAAGCTTCCACAAAACTGCCTTGGTCAGCGAATTGGCGCTGGTCGCAGCCAGTCACGGTATAAGGAGTGGCCAATCCAGTAGCTGAGAGAGGATTCGCTGGCACAGTCATGGTGCAATCTTGGGCAAGAATAACGAACGAAAGAGAAAGTGATAGAGCACAGCTCTGAACGAATGAAATTGTGAACTGCATTGCGACTTCGAGAGCGCCAAGTTAAAAAGTGAATGACGAAGCGAAGGACAAGAAAGTGTGGAAAGAAATGGACTGAGAAGGAATGCAAACTCCCTTCCAGACCTGGCTGGACGGAAAATCAAGCTACACAAATACTGGAGTACATCAGAAGCGAACAGTTTATAGTCAGGAAACCACGGTATAGTCAGAGAAAGATTCACTTTTGAGGAATTAGCGAAGTCCCTGTGGAGATTGTGAGCTTGGCATCGCAGGAGTGAAGCAAGTAATATCGCTCCTAAGCTCCCAATCGGCGGTGGCTGCGGCATAGCATGAAGCAATGGTTTTAGCCTTGCCAGTTCCAGGGTCGCTAAGAGTAAGTGAGCCGAAAGGCGATGGAGGAAACAGCTCTGAGATCAAGGTTGCCGAGGAGAATATCGTGCTCTGTCTTGTGACCGCAATGCTTTGCATCAGCGTTTACGATATTAGTAATTAATATGCGGGAAAGATATGACAAGCTACTTGATCGAAATTGATAATTGCATTTGCATGTTGACACGATTTCGAGTAGTGCCAAAGACACCAAGATCTAGACTATTTTGTGGCGAACTACAACACAGTATGGGGTTTTCGACCGCTTGTGGAGTGATGCTAGTGAAACCCTGATCCGCCATGGGACAATTCAAGGACTGAGATGAACGCTGAGAAAAGCAGTTTCAGTGGCGATAGCTACGACGTTCTGACGGTTTCAGAGTCTCCAAAGCTTCTGATCTTCATTCGAAACCGAAAACCCGTATTTTGCGTCCGGACGGTAAGAAGACAAACTTGGATTGAGCTCAGAGCTGTCTAGCACGTCGACGAAACATTCATGTTTCGAAACGAGGGAAACGATTGGCGAACTTGGCTCGAAAAGCTTGTCTCATCGTGGCGCATGCTTAGCTCCTGCGGTAAATACCGTCGTTGAGTCAGTACGTCTAAAGTTGGTCCAGACCATCCTCAACCCCTGAAAATTCAAGAAATTTTTTAATCACAACTAGATTTCACAGCGGGGACGCGCAGGGTTAAGTCTATGCTGATACGCAGCAATGCTTAGCTTGACAATGCGAGAAGATGAATTCCGATCTTGATATCGCCACCATGGCTACATATGGGGTCACCACGAGGCACATTGCCCCTTGAGGTGTTGGCTACTAAAATGGTGATCTCCTCTAATTGTATCTAGTCGTGTGAAAGACGGCTTGGGAGAAGAATATGAAACATCTCAGGGATGAGAGAAAGCCAGTAATCGGGTGATGGTGAACGGCACGATCAATTTTAGCGCACGGGAACAACCCGTGGTGTGCCGATCAGAGCTAGGAGTTCTGCTGATAATATTGAAGGCACAAAGCGGTTTCACACCTGAAGTAACAGCGCTGTACTCCGTACTTAGGGTACACTTCAACTGCAGATGAAAATTTCATGCCCCATGTCCGGTTAATGAAGATTCAACAAGTGCAGAGGCCAGGCGACGGGCACGGAGCGGAGTTAAAAGTCAAGGCGGGGGCCATCCCACCTGCTATCCTGTCCAACACGTCGTTTTGCTACGCCATAAGCAACAGAGTAACTACATCAGTTGAGAAAACTATTGTTGACGGTCATCCATCTTCCGCCATGTTAATTGTCTGTGGCCGCGAGCACCAAGGCACAAATGCTTTACCACTAAGACTTCTCATAAATAACTGACCCTAACTTTATCCCATATGTATAAGGTCGATAATGCTCCGAGTGTTTCTTGTTGTTACCGCCAACATAGTCAGGACGTTCATTTGCCATACTCAGGTAGCGATGTCATGCTCGACGGCCGCGTAGCTCAAGTCAACCACGTATCATCGCTGATCATAAAATTCACACATGACTTAACAACCAGAAAGGAAATGTTAGCTTAAGGACAACCTGCCCGTGATCAGCTGACACGCATTCCAATCTTAGTAATCGCGGATAGTACTTCTCAGATAACATATCAGCGAGCGTCTTGAAAACAATGTTGAAACTGCATATAATCTTGCTGTGATTATCCGGTTCAAACTCGACTTGATCTGCCGGATAATTATGCGGCTACGATGATCAGAGAAAGTATAAAAATGCGTTCACCGCAATTCCTTTTATTGTTTTCAAGCCTGAGATGAGCAAACACTGGCAAAAGCTATAGTCATGTCAGACTACTGAAGAGCTGGTCTTTAACGACTTTATGCAAGCAGAGTCTGTGGACAGGCCGCGTTTCCCGTGTCAAAACTTTTGTGGTTACTTCCAATCCCGGATGCAATGCACAGAACGCTTCGAAAATATATTGGTCTCTCTCTCCTATGCAAAGCGATACAACATGAAAGCCGGCGAGAATAAGAACTACGCTTAAGTGTTATATCTGTGCTTTGAGACGCTGACATGATGCGAGCAAGTATTGCGCTGATTGAAAAGCTCGTGCTGAGACCCACAACTATAGACAAGGCTCAAATGCTCACATTTCGACAAGGCTCGTTCCATCCAATCCACTTTTGAGGTGCATTTCTTCATTCGTAGCTGGAATAACACTCACGTACATTTCTATCCAAAAAGCTGCTAAAGCGGAGAAAATGAACATGGGTATTTACCAAATCCCTCCAGGCGCATATGCACGACATATGTACATATTTTAACTCAATTCCTGCTCAAGATGCAGCACACAAAAGGTGTTGCGGATATCACATGACGACACAGCAGCTCCTAAACAACTTCATGCAGCCCTTCACAACCTGCTCTATCTCTTCGTCCTGGGCTTGCTGCTGACTGCCGCTATGCTGATGCTGTGGGCCGCTGGAGTAACCGACGTTACCGCTGCCATGTGACGGAGCACCCCAGTGTTGTCCATAGCCAGCAGGTGGGCCTGGCAACTGGTGGACTTGGCCACCAGTGAGGTCGACATAAATTCTACCCTCGTTCTGCTCGGTCTGATAATTTAAGCCGAGCTCCCTGCAAACCTGCTCAACGCGTGGCTTGATTTTCTGTATATGATCTCGACTATGGTTGCCCTTGCCTACGATGACGTGCAAATGCGTTTCACCACGTTGCTGTCCTGCTCTGATCCTCCTCTCGAGAATCTCTTCTGCTTCCTCGACAAACTGGCCATGCAGATCTATCGTGTCCGAAGGTACTCTCTCATTGTTATTCTCGCGGAAGATGAACTCAGATGCTTGCCTATTGTACTGATCTTGCTTCGCAGCATGTTGCTTGGAGAGTTCGGACAAGCGATGGGCTTCGGCGCCGTCACCGCGTTGGTATGCCTCTTGGGAAAGACGTGCGTAGTGTTGACGCTGGCTGTTCTCTTTGCGGGCTAGGTCGCGCAAACGGTCGTACTCTTGCTCGACAGAAGAAGAGGGGCCGTGACTGAAGGCTGCAGTGCTCAAAATTAGCGCTGCAAGAAAAAGGTGATGATTCAAGCGTGAAGTCGAGGTCCGGGTTGCATACCTCGGGATCCGAGCTGGGTCATCTCGTAGGCCATGATCGCCGAGCGCGGGCGTGATGCTATGGGTAGCCCAGCAAGGATGGCGCGGTGTCATACACAAAATCGAGAGAGGGGGGCAATTGCAACTCGTAGACACGAGCAGCAACAAAGCGAAGAATTCTGCCGCACGCAGTAGAAACTGTGTTCAGGTGCAGCAACTGCAAGACCCTTTGCAGGTTTGACTCTCAGGCTAGTTCTTGCGACTGTGTGGCGCGCAAGATCATCTGGTGGCTGGTCAGAATCTTGATCGAGCAGTCGCAACTGCAACCAAAGCGCTCCGCAGGGCGAACGACAGGGAAAGAGCTACGCGAAACCTTGAACGACTCTCCCGCCTTTTGGGGCACCTTCCAAGTCAAGGCGCAGGTACACTCGGGAATTGCGAAGGAGCAGCAAACCCCGATTCGGTAACAAGTACATAACCCTGGAGGCGGGAAGCCACGACTCTACGGTCGGTTCGCAAGTCACATGATAACATCCCGTTTAAGTTAACACATCACAACTTGCCGAACTCGGAACAACGAACCGTTCCTGTAACTTAACTTAGCTTACTTGCTCCGCGCACGTGACTGCAAGCAAGGGAAGGTAAAGATCGATTCATTATTCAGCGGGGTTGCGTCGGGGATAATCTGCGAATACACCGAGCACAACCATGGTCGAAGCTATAAAGTCGACTCCCCTCTGGCTGTTTGCACCTCACTCGATTCAGCATGTCATCCGCCGTCATGAGAGCTCTCATCACTAAGGAAGGCAAGACCGCCGGCGTCGAAACAGTTCCCGTACCACAGCCTGGCGACGGAGAAATTCTAGTCAAGGTTCATTATGTAGCCCAAAATCCAACCGATTGGAAGCAGGTTATGTCCGTTGCTCCGGGAAGAGTCGTCGGTTGCGACTTTGCCGGCACCGTCGCCGACGCCAATGGATCTCACTGGCGTGAAGGTCAGCGCGTGGCTGGATTCGTGCAGGGCACCGCTCCCAAACCTCCTCGGGGCGCCTTCGCCGAGTTTTGCGTTGTCGAGAGCTCCCTTGTCTACGCTATCCCCGACGAAATCAGCTACGAACAGGCCGCTGTTATTCCTCTGGCGTTTGCAACCGCTGTCCAGGCTATGTTTCAACGCCTGGGCTTGCCAGAACCAACTGACCCAGCCAAGATCGCGGTCCCCTTACTCATCAATGGCGGTACCAGTTCGGTGGGTAAATACGCCGTGCAACTCGCCAAGTTGGCTGGGCTATACGTAATCGCCACCGGCTCCAAAAAGAACCACGACATCCTAAAGAGCTTAGGAGCAGATGTATGTGTGGACTATAAAGATGTTGACTGGATCGAACAGATCCGCAACGTGACAAAAAATGATCTTCAGCGCGCCTTTGACTGCATTGCCGAAGGTGGTACGGTTGAATCAATCGCCAAAGCACTCTCGACAACCAATGGCGGCCACATCGTTACCCTTTTGCCAGTTGCCAAGGTCCGTCCAGTAATAGAAGCCATGAATCCTAAAATCAAGGTGGAGAGCACTGTGGTGTACACTGTTTTTCAGAGACCTTTGAAGTACGGTGCCTTTGATAACTGCGGACAAGAGACGCTGGAGGATAGGCGGATGTGGGAGAAATACTTAAGCCTGCTTCCCGAGTACTTGCGTAGCGGCAAGATAAAACCGAACAGGGTGCGTGAAATGGGAGGCCTAGAAGATATTGTCAAAGGTTTTAAGGAACAACAAGAAGGGAGAGTCAGCGCAGAGAAGCTTGTGTATAAGGTCATTGAGCAGTCGAAGATTTAGAAAAGCGATCTCCTTCAGGAGCTTTTCAACTACGAATCTTTAATATGATCTGAAATACTGTTGTCAACACAGCGACATCACAACATCTTGAAATCTTCAAGGTCCCGAATTAAACACATGACTCCAAGGTTTACAGAAAAGGGGAAGAAGAGAACCAATAGGGGTAAAAATTAAAAATTTAGAAAATTGAAGGCCCAAGATCAACTCTGGAAAAGATGATAAGCTTATTTGATCGGCTTCCTCAGACTCTTCCAGCCCCGTCAATCTTATCTTCTCCCCACAAATCACACGTCATTCAAAAGGTTAGTAAGCGGGCAGCGGTAAGTTTGTGACTTGTCCCACACCTTGTACTTTTCCGTCGCTGAAAGACGGCTATTTTTAGTAAGAATAGTTTTTGAAAGCTAGTACGCGAGAGTATGATCAACAGTATTAGTTGATATTCCCCCAAACTAAGAAGAACAATGCTCTGTTCGAGTTCGTTTAGTCTCGGAGAGGAGACAGGAGTCTTAGGAGACCTTCGATGCTGATACTGGGGAAAACCAGCGCCATAACACTATTTCTTAGAAAAGAATTCTAGAATGCTGAGAGCGCTGCAGATGCCGTCGCGCTCTCTGTTCGTTGCTTGTCAAGATACCGACGCAGCACTGTGATTTTGTTTTGTCTAACAACCCAAAAGTTGCATGAGTCTTCATGGGAGGCGGTGTCCGAATTGAGAGATGTCGATTGAAGTTCGACTCACGATGGAGAATGTCGATGACTCGTCTGTGGGTCCGGCGGATTGCAGCTCAGTCCTTATTTAACCCCACAACCCCTCGCGCCCGCTCATGGGTCGACGTACCTTACCACATTCTCAAAAGTCCGCCCCAAGCTACGTAAAGTCTTGCGACGTACGTGCAATCCCATACTAATGCTTGGTTTCAATTAAACCCCTCTTGCGTAGTCGATTTAAATGCCGCTTCCACACCAGATGGACACCTGTGTATGGACGATATTAAGGCCCATATTCGTTATCGCCAGATTGAAACGGACTTGAAATAAAGCTTAGAAAGGCTGCAAGTCGTTGTCGCGCTTTAATTCGGGTATCGAGTAGAAAGAAATATATTAGAAATCGTTTCCGCCACATAACGAAACGAAAGATCATGCCACGAATCCCAGATCTACCCGCCGCTGAACGGCGAAAAGGCGAGTCCGCTCTCAGCGACTTTGCCGACTACGTCCAGAAGCAGCAGGCCAATCGGCGTCCATTCATTTCGAATAGCAAACAAGCTGCGGTCATCGAAGAGCACGATGAACTGGACATACTTGACACGCTCGGGCTGGCCGAAGAGTCTCGCGCAATTCGTCTAAACCACGTTCTTCTCGATACAAACGTGGAGACAAAGAACGCGAGTGTAAACAAGCTCAAAGATTACATCAAGAGTCGCTTGGCTGATGAGCATGGTGAGTTTTTGTTCGATCTGGGGCTTGAGGACAATGGCGATAGCATGGGGTTTGATCTCCAACAGTGGAGCCTTGCTCTTGACAGGGTTGGCAAGGTGTGTGGCGACTTGGGTGCAGATATCAAAGTACTTATGACAAGAAATGTGGGCACTAAAGGCAAAGACGAAGTTGAGGTTGGGCCGAAAGATGAAAAGGACACCGCATGCTCCGGCAAGTTGATTGTACGCTCACGACCACAAACTGTAAACGATGTGATCGAGACGCGCATCGCAGTGGTTGGAAATGGTATGACTTGAAACAAATTGACGCTATGCTCGTATTAGACTAAAGCGCTACAGTTGATGCTGGCAAGTCTACCATGCTTGGTGTGCTCGTCAAGGGCGATCTCGATGATGGTCGCGGCAAGGCGCGAGTCAATCTGTTCAGACACAAACATGAAATTGAAAGTGGACGAACTAGTTCTGTTGGCATGGAGATTATGGGCTTCGACTCCAAGGGGGACGTCATTACATCAAATGTCCATGGTCGAAAGCTGACTTGGGAGGAGATCGGTCAACGTTCCGTATGCGACAGATGATACATTTTGGTGTTCACATTTATTGACGCCATATTTAGGCCAAAGTAATCTCCTTCACTGACTTGGCTGGCCACGAGCGATATCTTCGTACAACTGTTTTCGGCTTGCTTAGCTCTGAGCCAAATTATGCTTTGCTCATGGTCGCTGCCAACAATGGTCTCGTAGGCATGTCTAAGGAACATCTTGGAATTGCGCTCGCCTTGAATGTGCCCGTCATGGTCGTCATCACGAAAATCGACATCTGTCCACCTAACATCCTTGAGCAGACCGTCACACAGCTGACAAAGATTTTAAAGTCGCCTGGTGCTAAGAAGATTCCTGTTTTTATCAAGAACCGCCAGGACTGCGTGAACACAGCAAGTCAGTTCGTGTCGAGCCGAATTTGCCCTGTCTTTCAGGTGTCCAATGTGACAGGCGAATGTCTTGATCTGGTCCGTACGTTTCTAAATATCCTTCCTCATCACGGAAACTACAACACAGATGCTCCGTTCGAATTCCATGTCAACGACACCTTCTCCGTGCCCTTCGTTGGCACGGTCGTCTCGGGCATCGTAAAGTCTGGTGTCATTCACGAAGGTGATACCGTTTTGATTGGACCCGATTCACTTGGCCAGTTCCTCACAACAAAAATACGTTCGATTGAGCGCAAGCGCATTCGAGTGCCAGCGTCGGCCGCTGGTCAATCCGCTTCCTTCGCCCTTCGTGGAGTTAAAAGAAAAGACGTCCGCAAAGGCATGGTCGTTGTCCACAAGCCGGACGAGGGCAAAGCGGGTAACGAAGGTGGCAACAAAACCACGGTGCAGCCAAAAGTGCACAGAGAATTCGTGGCCGAAGTACTCATTCTATCCCATGCGACGACGATAAAAACTAAGTACCAGGCCATGCTTCATGTGGGACCGGTATCCCAAACGTGCAGCATCATTGACATTGATCGCGCGTACATACGAACCGGTGACAGAGCTACGGTTGCTTTCAGGTTTGTCCAGCGACCCGAGTTCCTCGCCGTAGGAGATCGTATCCTTTTCCGAGAAGGGCGGACCAAAGGACTGGGGATTGTCAAGTCATTAGGATACGATCCCGCCAAGCCGTTGAATCCAGAAGTAGCCAAGATGAGAGAGAATGAGCGGAATGGTGCGTTCGGCAAGGAGAAGTCATAGGCGACGCCTTTTTTTTTCTTTTTTTTTTTTTTTTTTGCGTGAAAGATTAAAGAGACAGTCACTACAGATTTACAATAGGGTGGTTTGAATTTTCTTGGGAAACCAATTGAACATTGTTTTCAAATTACGTCCATGATTTAGCCTTCGGTTTGATGCAAACGTTCTAACCTGACTTATGCTGTGTAACGAGGCATTCTGTGCACGATGGGGAACTGTTGGTGCATGTCTTCTATATTACCTCTATAAGGCGAAAGAAGAACGACGAAGCAGATTCATCATACAGAATAACAAAGGTTTGCCCCCCACCCCCCACACACACACATACACTGCAGTTGCCCAAATTATACACATACATACATGTGATGTCTTCCAGGTAAGAACGCCTTTAACACGCTTACAAACGCATTCAACTGCCAACGGGGTGTTTATCCCAGAAAACGCATATCCGGAAAAGAACCCCGTAAAGATGTGCTTCTCTGTGTGCCCAAAATTGATTCGCATGTGACGTGCACTCGTCGTCTTCCATCCCGCTGTCCGTTCGTACGTATCGTTTGTACGTCGTGTCCGTTGTATGGCAGCTTTATATGCACCTCCCCACAAGCCGGTGCGGTTCTTACATATCCTCCATCCACGTTTTCTTTTTCTTTAACCCTTGGCGTTGGCTTGGACTCCGCTTACATCTTCCCAGCCATAGCAACCAGGTCCTCTAGTCACGGACTGCTCCACCCACCTGCAACCTCCACCCATTCCACGAGACAACTTCCTTCTTTGCCCTCGACATCTACAATGTCCGTGTCACATCTGCAACGACAGCCTACGCCATTCTCGCGCTCTTTATCGTAGTTGTCCCAGTATTCTTCCTCCTCGCGCCATTTCTTCTCCTCGTCCCACATATTTTTGCCTTTCTCATTGCTGTAAATGCCGCCGAGAGGTGAGTGTGCCCACGAAGCCGGCTCGGGGAAGCTAGGGCGTGGGAGCTGACGTGCAGGAGCATTTGCCGGACAGTGCTGAATCGTGGTGTGTCTGTAGCCAAAGTCACGAAAGTAGTGTATGTCTTTGACGCTCAAGAGTGCGCCTGCGGCCAGAGAATGAATGGGAGCATCGCCCCACTGAAACATATGGGTCAGTCATTGGATCAAAGCATCACAGTTCAGAACAGACATACTCTCTCCATCCAGAATCCACCGCTTCGATCCATCATCTGGAAGAAGTCCTCGTATTCTTTCGACCTGAACCAATCCAGCCTTGCGATCTCGAAGTTGGACCAAAAATGGCACATGTTATACGCTTCGCCTTCCATCTCGTCTGGGTCGATACGAGGCAGCTCTCCGCTGCCAGGTTCGATTTTCATAATTTCTTCGGGTAGTGGTTTCTTATAATTGGGATCGTTCTTGGGCAGCTCCTTCTTCTTTTCCTCCTTAGGCTTCTCGACAAACATCTCCCACAAACCCTTTGAGGTGATGTTATTGAGGCGTTTGTAGGCCGAGGCATAACGAAAGATGTTGGGAACCGTCTCTTTGAGTTCCTTGACTGCGATAGTGAACCCGTACGTCTTATTAGCACGTTCCATGTGGATGAATGGGTCGCTGTAGATGGGTTAGTTCAGTGGTGACAAGCGAGCAGTGAACGTACTAAGTGATGTCGCAGAAATACTTTATCTCAGGCTCCAGTCGCCAGTACCACTTATATTTGTCCAAGAGCGGGTGCTTGTAGAAGAATCTGCTCCGCTCAAATTAGCCCAGGTTTCCGATTTGCGCGCTGCACATGCGCATTCACGATGCAGAAGCATACCCAGAGTAGAACCTGCACATGTGGTGATAGCTCTCCATGCCTCCGTACATGATCGCTTGATCACCTTGTTTCCTGATTCCCTCCCTCGCGACCTCCTTATCGACCCAGTCCGGATATCCCCACATGTCCGGACTGATCTTGCCAAATTCGACGGGGGCGCTGGTGTAGTTTGTAACGACTTCCTTGAAGGTGGTGTTGAAATCGCCGTCATTGAGAAAGACGTACGGATAATGAAACCACCTGTTGAAGTGCCGTTCAATGGACTTGATCGACTGCACAATACCTTCCAGCTCCTTGTTTCGCGCAAGGACGACAAATGCGGCGTTTGCACGAGGCGTCTGAGCCGCTGTCATCTCGGGATCCAGGCAGCCACTGACGAAGACTTTGTCGTGCTTCTCGCTTATTTTGCTGTCATGATCTTTCTGTTAGCTGTGTTTCCCCACGTGTTGGCATGAGCAGGATGGGCACCACAATGCCAAGCCATTCTCTTACCGTATCGAAGGGGGTCCTCCAGCTGGCATAAGCACTCGCCCAGGGCTGTCTGGATGCCTTAATAGCAGCACCAGTATGACCACGATGGCGATCAAAGGGAAGAAGAGGACAACGACCAAGGGTACGCTGAACTTTCTTATCCGTATCCTCCTCCGCATAAGGTCGCGAATGCTGAAATGGCGGGCGCGTTGGGAGACATCGTTGAAGGTTGGGTACGTCTTGGGCAAGGAGGGCGAGGAGACATTGAGATTCTTGCGTAGGCGAGCGAAGAGCCCCATCAGGGGCTGAGTGTGCGGAGGAGGGCTCCCGGGCACCGTCTCTGGAATGCTCACGCTTCCTGGACTCGGCCTTGAGACGGTCGAGCGTCGGCGGGGTTTATCCCGCCCGTTGAGCGTCTCCACCTTGACTGTTTGTGAGTGAAAGACGTGGAGAGAGGGCGTGAGTTAAGGCGAGGAGCGTGGACGCGTGATGAGAGGCTTGTGAAGTATGAGACGGCCGCTTGCAAAGTTGGGGAGGTTTAGCTTCGGCGAAGGGGGAAACGAGCGACTGGACGGACGTGCTGAGCACTCCCTGTGGACCACGACAACGTTGTCGCGAGCAACGCCGACGCCACGGGGAGGAGATTCTCAGGGTGCACAAAGGTGGAAAAGGTTTGCAGATGAAGGTCGAGACGGGACGATGCGAGGTGATGGGGTTGGGATTTTTGGTTTGGAGGGCGTGTCCTCTTGCTGGTCTTGGGACGCTTTGGGGCAAATCCGATTTGACTGATTTGACTGACTGGCGGACGCGAGCAGAGGCCAGTGCGTCATGCACAAGCAACGTCGAACGTCGACGCTGGCCGTGTAGCTGGGGCAGTGCTTCTTTTTTTGTTTCTGTATTTTTCCTGCGGTCGGAAAGCCCAGAAGGCAGCGCCGCTCTTCACACGAAAAGCCCCGGGTGATGCGGTGGGCAGTTGAGCCGTCTTTGACGTCGTGTCAGCCGCCGGCGTGGTGGAATGAAGGTCGATGTTGTCGCGATTCCTTCGTCTTTGCCGTCCTCACACGCCCCGCGCCGTTCTTGTCCTTTATCTTCTCACGCCAATGCGAAAGCTCGCCGAGCGTCAATCGTGGGGAGATGACGGGCAAGACACTCGTTTGTGCCACTTGACGTGTGTTTCGAAGGCGCAAAGCAGCCCGCAGTGGACAAGTAAGCAGACCTGCTGGCCCGTCCTCTCAACTCCTTGTTGACCAGCTCGCCGTGGCGGAACGTATACTTTTACTTTTCTTGCTTTGATGATATATTCTATTGGCATCGCTCATACGTTCCATCTTTGAAAGCGCGAAGTGTGACTGTGCCTGGCTGATCGCCACGTGATTCCGAATGTATGACTGTCGCGCGTCACCGAAAACGCATCAACCCCGCATTGTATCGAACACACGTTCCTCTCAGACGGGCTTGACTGATCGACTGTTCTTGGTCTTCTCGCAAAGTGGCCCTCGGTGTTCCCCATTGGTGTTGAGAAACAAGCGTTCATTGCCTGTAGCATGCATACGCGTCTGGCGCTTCGGGAGACCCACAGTACAGAAGCGTACAGTAGCTCTGTTTTGACAGGTGTCAACTTAGCGTGACACCCAGTGGATTCCATCCGCCCACACAGAGACCGACAGCACGACAGTTTCAGGCGGCCTCAACGTCGTCCAGGCCCCTTTCTTCTGTATTCACTACTCGCAGAAGCACATGAAAGATCGGACCATCACTGCACGAACCGATCATATTGTCCGGTGTGACCGAATGCAAGCGCTTTAATATCTGCCACGCCATGTCAAAGAGAAACACCCTCGAATTTGACCGCTCGCAGCCTGCCTTCCTGCAGCGACTGCGCTTGGAGGTTAGCGGCCAGGTCAATGACCAGCAATGCCGTGCCGATCAGACTGCTCGCCCTCAAAGGCCCAAACGGCTCGATGCCGATGAAGACGACGGGCCAACTTATGTTATGGAAGACACAAATGAGAGTTTAACCAAGGCTGAGTACGAAGCTCTGGTCAGGAATGGCGCTGACTCATCCGTCGGCGCCATCGACGCGTCAAATCCAATCTCAAGTTCAAATTCGGGCGAAGCTCCGGAAAAGCCGAAGTCAACGCAGAATGTCGCTGCCATCGGCGCAACTAAGAAACGAAAGGCTGCTAGGATCATCGGCGCTGACCGGCTGGACGAAGACGCAGAGGTACCAAATGGAGACGTTCAAAGGCAGTCTTCATCCGCCATGAGGGCGCCAACTGATGAGAAAGCTAAGCCTGTCGACAAGAAATCGGCACCTCCAAAAAAGAAGAAGGCAAAGGTCAATATCAATTTTGGCGACGACGATGACGACGGCACTTGATCGACAATGCTAGCTTTCATATAGCCGTGTTTTCTTGCCTAACAACCAGTCCTGGACAGCATCGCCGCGGAGGCGAGGCTAGACTGACCGAGCCCTACAATCACCGTGGCGTGACGTGAGAAATGGCAAGACGTCAAATTTACGACCACAGAGTGAAGCAGCACGATTGCTGCCTCCTTCAAAAAAAGATGGCCAGCATTTGGCGTCGTCATTTGCCGTAAAATGACGATGCAGCAAAGCTGGCGCGGCGCTTGGTTGGCACTTTACCATCTAACAAACCTTAACGATGGGTTGTCCTAGATGGCGCGTTTCTTGAAGGAAGCGCTTCCACTGTTCATCATCTTTTTTCTCTTCCATTTACTTATTTGGTTGAGGACAAATCCCTCTTTTCACGAGCAAGCGGAAATCTACCACTGCTTAGCCAAAAGCAACCTTTGGAACAGTGACGGGTTGCAGAATAAAGGTCGGAGAAAGCTGCTCTGAATCCCCACGCCAGTACATAATGCGTCTTTGACTTGCTGTCCACGTTGACAAGCGGTATTCTAGTTACGCGTACGTGGCAAATTTCACTGGTCGCGAACAGCGTGGGACATGTTTTTCCCATCTGTAGAAAAACCAGCAAGTATGTGAGAGCTGAGATTTGACAACACGTGCCCGGGCAAGTTATTGAAAGTCCGCGCGTATTGAACGGTGTAATGTCAAATTTCAATCCAGTCAACGTGTGCTGGGGAAGGACTTTGGTTTATATACAGATCCTGCAACACTGAGTGCATCTACAAGTTGACCATGACGCCTCTTCAACTTCTTTGATTCTTCTTTTCTTTCTTTCCATTTCCCGCGCATGTTCAGCTCGTAATTTGAGAAATTCTTGAAATGTTCAAAATCCCCGTGCCTCCATGTTTCGATTGCGACCTGGTCCTAGTCAATCGGTTGTGAAGTAGAGTCTGGAAAGGCCAAGTTTGACTCCTCACAGTCCAAGACTGACCAGATCTTCTAATGTCACGCGAGACCTTCCATTCTTGAATGTGACGCATTAACTCTTTGCAATCGAAGACACAAGCGTACGCAAGTTTATAGGTTCAACCAATCAACTTTTGCGTAGCAATCAGGGAGTTGCCCAAGACTTTTCATGTCAGGAATCGCACGAAATGACATCCCAAGAATCTTCTCCAATGTCTGCAAATCAAGCAACTATAAGGGGATCAAACATAGACGGACGACCATAACCAGACACATCAACGAAGATCGTCGTGCACTATCGATAAGCCCATGAGCGTGCTCCGCTCAAAAGGTCGTGGAGTCACGGGAACAGGTGAAAGCGCGTTCGTGACAAAGTCCGAAATAGCGCGTCGAGCGTCAATCCGATCACGAAGCAGCAAAAATCGTTCCAAGTTCGAAGCCCAACAGCCGCAAAAATGGCAGATGAGTCTACTCCCCGAATCAACGCCTCATACCTCGAGAGCTTCCAAGGACAGCGCGTGCGTTTCGTGGGCAAAGTTGTCAGGCTTCAGGGAGATCGAGCAACGGTGGACTGCGCGGGGCAGATCACCTTGATCCTTAACCGAGTATGTGCCCGTATCCATTGTCCTCGCGTCCCGCATTGTCATGCCGTATTACGACCCCGTTGTTCCGTAGACTGACCCAGGATGCCCTTTCGTGCAGGACAGTCATCTGGTCATGAATCACGCGTTCGAAATTGTCGGCCAGGTTACGCCAGACCTGAGCGTCCGGGTCAACCAGGCGCTCGACTTTGGTACCGACTTTGGTACGTGTCGGCAATGCGGCCGCTTGCTTTATGTGTCGTTCACGACAACCGCTTACAGTCTCCCAGACTTCAACGCCTACGAGGCTGTCGTCAATGCCACGCACAGACATAAGGAGATCTTCTACGGCGCAGACATGTAGGCCGCTGCCCACGCTGCAGAACTCGAGGATCAAGCTCGCATGGGACGAGTGGCATGAGCTCAAACGCTGGGCTCTGGAATCTTGAAGATGAAAAAAAGTGCACAAGGACAAGCTTCTGCGATGTTGGCGCTGAAAAACCAGGCTTCATATTAATATTGATATTGGTCGGCCCCAAGAGTGGGAGACTCGTATCAATGCCATGAAACATTTCCTGTCCAAATTCACCAGCCTGCCGTCACGACAGCTTAGCTCTCTTATCTTCTGCCCTTCCGCCCTCGGGTGGCGGTGGCCTTTTTCTCTCTCCTAGCACGCTTGCATTTGCCCCCGAAGGACCATCCCTGCCACCCGCGCCGCCTTCGTAGTCGGGACGAAATCTGTCGTCGTTGGTGTTGAAGCGACGCTCGTCTCCCGCTCTTCGGGGCCCATTCCTGTCCAGATGTTCCCCCCACCGGCCCGTGTCCTCGCTGCGCATGTCCTTGTATTTGGTACCGCCCTTCTTACCAATCTTTGTGATGTCGCGCTTCTGCAAGTACTCCGGCAGGGCCTCCTTCATGCGGAAATCATCCTCGTACCTCCCGCCCATGATGTCCCGCTTGGCCAACTCACCAAGGTCTTCGGTGTAGAAAGCACCCTTGTGGAAATACTTTTGCTTGAATGCCATCGTGCCCTTGCTCTCCTTGGCAGCCTTTTGCGCATCCAGGAACGCCTTGTCCTCGGCCTCGCGCTCCTCCTTGGACAGGTTGCGCCGCCGCTCAATCTCCTCCCGCTCGCGCTCCGCCGCGATGATGGCGTCCTGGTCGCGCTTCAGCCGCTTGATCTCGCGCAGCTTCCAAGCCGCGTATTCCGCTTCCGGATCGACGTCGTCGGTGTCATCCACGTCGTCGGCCACGTTGTCCTCGTCGTCCCAGTACTTCTTGCCCGCCGCTTTGGCTTGGGCCTGCTTCTCCAGCTCTTCCCGTATCAGCGCGTCTGCGCGCTCTTTCTTGCGGGCTTGCTCCTCCTCCCAGACCTCCTCTTGCGATTTTCCCGACGGCCCTGCTTCGCCGTTGCCTCTGCTGGCCGCCTCTCGCTGGCTCTTCTTCAGAAAGACAGGCCGTGCCCGCACAGGCCTCTCGTCTTCGCTCGATGAATCTTCTTCCGTCGACTCATCCTCTTCTTCCTCGCTCCCTGTCGACTCCTCCTCCTCGCTCTCTTCCGTCTCGAACTCGTCCTCGTCGATTTCGGGTGCGGTCCGAGATTGTGGTGCTGGCGGCCTTGTGTTCAAATCGACTACCTTTCGATCGTATGAGACACGGGAGACCAGACTGGGGGCAAAGGATGATGCTGCGGGTCTTGACGCATGCGCATTTGGTTCCGTCTGTGTTTGCCGCTCATGCTGCACTTCCTCCTCGTCCTGCTCCTGGACGCCAGATTCTTCATCTGATGACGTCTCTGCTTCCTGCACCGTCGGCTTGCCCGCTCTGTGACGTGCAGCAGGACGGGCAGGATTAGCCGTCATGCGCTTCGGCGGTGGCATGGTTGCTTGGGAAGAAGACACAGACTTGTTGCACACAGTATGACTACCAATGTGTTGTGACCATTTCCCTACTCCCGTCGTTCCGCGACTTTTTCTATTTTTCTGGGGTAACTAAGTCAGCTTCAAGCACGCAGAGCACTCCACAGTCACGTGATTTGAACCTGCAACACTGCCAAGTTCACGTAACTACCTGTCTCCAGTCGAGTCAAGCGGTACAGGGTACTTACGGATGAGATTCTCGCAGGTGTCATGCAAATACGGCATGGCGCTCAACTTCAGGCAAGTGGTAGAGAATAAACTCAAGACTTTCTGACAAACCGTGCCGAGATTTCACATGATTGCAGTGAAGGGGACGTCCCTTGAGCCGCTCTGCACAACCAGGCGTATGAGTTAGTGTCTAGTATGGTTTGCGAACATCGTGCATATACGCTGTAGACAGTAAGCAAACGCTGACCATCGAGTGTACAAAGTCTGCTAGTCCAGTAACGGTCTTCGGACAAAGTACAGCCCTCCACGTTTCCGGGCTTTGCATATGCAGGTGCACAAGATAGTTCGTGAATTTGCACCGCCTCTCCGGCCCAGGCCAGATTACTCCTCAAACATTACGACCGCGCGCAGGCGGCAATCATCTTCTCTTCCTTTTTGGCTTCGGGGCTCTTCTGCTGATGCGGAATCAGACCCTGCATTGGCCCGCACGTTTTGTCACCAAGCGCGTGCCCAGGCCAGCATCAGTCAGCGGATGATCGGCATTACAATTCACATATGCACCAGAAAAAGTCCTTTTTTGCCGTCCGCAGTCATTTTCTCTTGACGATTTGCCTAATATCTTGCTGCTTGGTATGGCCCACAACTGGTGAGGACTCACCCATCAGTCGGCTTTTCTTGCACACCTACTCCGTTATCCTCTTCCCATACTCCCCGGCTTGATCCGGTCATTGTCTTATCGTCATCGCCTGGGGGCGGGATTGGAACGGATTTGAGGGAGACCGTCGTGCTAGCGTCCGCTCTTGATTCGTCTCCGCACCGTCTTGAAACCCAAAAAAAAGATGAATTTCGAAGGTTTTAGCAGCAGCACCCAGTTTGCTGAGGACGAGAGCGAGGATAATCCCGTCCTTGTGTGCTTCGAGAGAGCGAGGCAACGAGAAATCTTGGCGTACGTTCTGAGTCCCCCCAGCGCTCTATGTAGTTCTGTCGCCTTGAAGCACAACGTCGTATCTTGACTCACGAGCGGACTAGTTACCTCGCTGCCGCATCGTATCCGAAAAAGGTCCCAGCAGGACATCCTGGTGTTGGCAACGCGAAACTTAATCCGGATGCCAGCTTAAATCAACTCGTCCAGCTCGGTGCTCTTCGTTTGGGTTGCGATAGAGCCATTGTATCCTTCATTGACTTTCAAAATGAGTACGTCGTGGCAGAGGCCACTAGGTTGCATACGCCAGCGCAGCGTAAGGCCGAGTCCCACCCGGAGCTGCTCGTCGGTGTTGCACGACTACCTCACGAATTAAACCAGGGCATGTGTCCGGAGACAGTGAGAGCCTTTAAAGACGAAACTGGTCAATTTGAGAGCAACGGCCCAATTTGCTACGCAAACCGCCAACGCTTCTACATCACTGACATGCGGAAGGATCCAGCATCGTGTAATAAGCCTTGTGTAGCTGAATTTCGGCCTGGTCTGGTGTCGTTCATCGCTGTGCCAATCATATCACCGCTGGGCTGGATCCTCGGCAGCTACATGGTCGGGGACTCAAAGGTGAACAACTTTGACGAGGGTTCAGTCGAAATTCTCCAGGAGGTCAGCAGCGCGATAATGGAGCATTTGGATCTTGTAAAAGCTAAGCACGATCGCCTACGATCTGAGAAGTTGATGAAAGGGCTCGCCGAGTTCATGGAAAGAGAGTCGCCCGTGCCTCACGAGCGCACCTTGTCTATGAGTACACGCACTTCGGAGAAGTCTTATTCGGAAGCTCATTTTTCAGAGGCTCCTGATGACGTCCCAGGTGATGACGGACCCTCTGAAGAGAATGAAATTGTTTCTCCTGACGACAGCTCTAAAAGCCATCGTCCTACGCCACACCACACACAATCCTCATCGACAGTGCAGACCTCGCATTCCGAAGTCTTTTCTCCCCCCCTGGATATGCAGACCACACCACCATCCACTCCACCAGAAGGTCGTGACCAAGATCCGTTCGAGGTAAATCCGCTGCAACACGTCGAAACTCATGATGAGTACGACGAGATATCAGCGCCCCCAAATCCGGAATCCACAATCTCAGAAGAAGTGAAGAAGACATTCAAACGAGCTGCGGCAACGATTACAGAAGCCTTGAACACTGATGGAATGATGTTCATCGACGCCGTCCCGAGCGGGTTCGGTACGCGCTCAAACATCAATACTCCATACGAAAGACCTGATGACCCGTTCACTAGCGACGCAGGGGAGTCAACGGGCAATGAGACGGAGGATGTTGTACTACCCACGTATCTCGCAAAATACGTGCAAGCACATTTAAAGCCTCCAGCCAACCGTCCACCGGATGGACATGGCCCAATACCGGAACCGATGCTCCAGAGATGGATCAAACGATATCCACGAGGCCACATCTTCACGGCTGACGAGTATGGACCAATCGATTGCCGATTTGGCCCTGGCAACAGCATCCAGAAATCCCGCAAGGCGAGAAGGCGTAGCTCGCGGGTCCTTACGGATGTAGCCTCGCTCTTCGAGCAATTCCCTCACGTTCGCTACATCATCTTCCTGCCTCTATGGCATTTTCAGCGCGAATGTTGGTTTGCGGCAGCCTTCGGTTGGGTTAGCTTCGACTCGCAGCAGGCATTGGACTACTCGGATCTCAACCTCTTGACAGCATTTTGTAATAGTGTCATGGCAGAGGTGTCACGCATTGAAGCCCTCTCAGTTAGTCGAGCGAAGTCGGACTTTATCTCATCCATTTCGCATGAACTACGCAGCCCGCTCCACGGAATCCTCGCAAGCGGGGAGCTGTTGCGGGAGGCATTAGACGACCCGGATCTACTGTCGATGATCGATATGATAGACTCATGCGGGACCACTTTGCTAGACACATTTAACAATCTGCTCGATTATGCAAAGATCAACAACGTTTCAAAAGCGGACGGAAGCGAAGAAGAAAAGGACGGTCTTGGGAAACGAGTACGAAAGTCGGATGCGAAAAGCACAGATCTAAGCCTCCTTGTGCAAGATGTGGTGGAAGCAGTTAACCTGGGCCACATGTCCAAGACTGCTTTCCAAAATAGCCAACAGGCACATGCAGTCTTCACCACATTAGCAGAGCTAGCGGAGGCAGAAGGCGATTTTCCGGATCACTCCGTCATTGTCACTGTTAATATCGAGAAACGACCGAGTTGGGTGACAAAGCTGGACCCTGGAGCGTGGAAGCGCATTGTCATGAACATCGTGGGCAACGCGCTCAAGTACACAAGAGCAGGGCATGTAGAGGTCGGTCTGAAGCTATGCGATCTACCCGACGATAAAAAGCGAGGCGCCACAAAACGAACTATCTGCTTCTCCGTCCGAGACACGGGAATCGGCATGAGTTCTGACTACCTAAAGTATCAGCTTTTTACCCCTTTTGCACAAGAAAACAACTTGTCACCCGGCACAGGGTTGGGCCTGAGCATTGTCAACCAAATTGTCAAAGGCCTGGGAGGAAAGCTGGATGTCCAAAGCCAAATTGGCGTTGGCACGCATGTCAAGGTTTTCGTTCCGCTTAATCCGGACACAGCAGGGCCACTAGGCCAGCAAATGCCACCTATTGATGAGATTTCTCAACTGGACTCGGAAGGCAAGCTTCAAGGAAGGACGCTACATGTGATCAGTCCAGAGGCTTACAAAACAATGGTTAACCCGCAGCTCGAAATCTCTCAAGAAATACGCGACCGCTTCCGTGCCATTCGCTCTTCTCTCCGAAACACGGCGGAAGAGCTTCTAGGCATGAAGGTCCTGTACGACATGCCTAACGAGCAAAATCCAGCGGACATATACTTCTTTGACGCCTATCTTATTGGCAAAGCGGTGCATGGGAAGCTAGGCTGTTCAATGCACAAGGCGATTGTGCAATTCTCTCCTTTGATTGTCCTATGTAGTGGAGCAGGTCCATTGAATCAACTCAAGAATGAAAAGTTAAAGGGGATGATGCTACATCTGCGCCACCCTCTGGGACCAAAAAAATTAGCCTCAACTTTCCTCGGTGCATTGGAGGTTGGGAAAGTTAGTATTCATCATGTCGCTGACGAATGCGGAGATGTAAATCCAAAACAAACTACTGAAGCAATATCGGGATCCGGTTTAGAAGAGGCTCGTATCACTGCTGAGGAACTAAATCGAGCCGCACACTCTCTGTCCTCGGAAAATTTACTTCAGAACAATAAAGCACCTCCACCTCGCTCACCTCGGCCAGAGCCAACACCAATACAAGACCATCGACCTGTGACACCACATCATATCAACTCGATATCTTCACCAGCCGTTCTCACTGGTAATAAAGCTAAACAGACTCAACATCTTCTTCTTGTTGACGACAATCCAATCAATCTCAAGATCCTCACCACACTTGTTAAGAAGCTCAAGCACACATATGAAACCGCATCGAATGGTCTTGAAGCGGTGCAGCTTTATAAGGCATCGTTGATCCAAAATCACCCATTCGACTTCATTTTTATGGATATCTCTATGCCCGTGATGAACGGTTTCGAAGCCACCAGAGAGATTCGGAAATTCGAAAAAGATGAAAAGATCGGTAGTGCGACGAGAATCGCAGCTTTGACAGGACTGGGCAGCGAAATGAGCAAGCAGGAAGCTTTCGCTAGTGGTACAAACTTGTTTTTGACGAAACCAGTCAAGCTGGGTGAAATTAAGAAGCTGCTCGACCATGAGCAGGCCAAGGGAGCTGACGTCACGACCGGTTAAATGAGTCTTTCGCTTTGCGGTGAAATTTGTACATGCTAAACGACAAAGTTTTTAAAGATACCAGGAACAGGGGTTTTGCCTTCTATCTCGATATATTTACGAGCGAGGATTTGTTTCATAGCTAGGGATATGGGCAAGAGGCGTTCTGCTTGTCTCAAGACCACTGCCGGGATTGTGTCGCTTAACCTTAGGACAGCTCTATTGCTTGTTCTTGCCAATGCGGACCAAGCTTGTCAGCGATGTATCTAGTTTACGATTGAACACTCTTTCACGTCTAAAGCGGTGATGTTGACTAAAGTGCGCAACACCCATATCTTGTTCTGGACCGTGTACATGGAACCTCTCTAGTCGATTGTTTGATCTTTGTTACACCGCTTCTGTCTCTCCTAGAATACTTGCTCTTCCAGCACTAGTGCTAACTACAAAAACCTGCCTGTGACCTAAAAGAGCTTGCCTTTTTGGTCTGGCTACCGGTATATTCTTAGTACGTGGGATCCCTTGCATCGTTGATAAATAACCTTGTGGGTTCCGAGTCGAAGAGACGCTGCCTCCTTGTACTGACCTTGTTATGACCTTGATTGTTGAAAAATGGAGACATGGCTACGCAAGGCTCCACAATTTAGTTTTGTGACTAAAGAGAAAAAAAAATACGGAGAAAAGGCTAAAACTAATGTTTTTATGTCTTTGGGACGATTAGGATGTGCCACGGGACGGTATGTGAGCAGTATCTAGCCTCATGAAGAAGATAGCACCGATTTGTAACCAAAGACCATCGTAAAGTAGTCCATATTTTCTAAAAAGTCAAATCGACCAGCCACAGTTTCCTTCCTCATAATGTTCCATTTAATACGAGTATAAAATGCGGAGCCGGCGTTTCATCCTCAGGTGTATTACTACATCTTTGAGAGTAGAAGTGTAGTCTTGGATTAATTGACGGCTGAGTGAAGTGAGTTCCCCCCATACTATCCAGGTCAGCACAGCCTATGTCGTGATTAGCTTAAATCTAGATTTCGACGTTTTCGTTCGCATATTGCACGTATTCAAGCTGCGGTTGGACAGTATATATTGTCTCAGCTCCATTGGCCGCTGGAGCCTACCTCCGAGGTATCCACGCCAAAGCTCTGAGCTTTTTACAAGGTTGACAGAAAGCAGCGCGTTTATCCATTCGCCAGATCTTTCACGATCACCAGCTATGCTCAGATCATTCCACCACTGCATTTCGATGCCGTGCAGGTTTGGGAACACTTGCCCCAAGCTTTCGACATCCGTAAGTACGTCCTTTAGCACTGGACTAATGGCCTCTTCAACGCTGTCAAGCTTCCATCCTTCAGCTCTCATACCATCTAGTTCAACGATGGCTATCAGCGTTCTCGTACGTCGGGCTACGGTTGGAGGAATTGAGTTAAGTATGTCGAATCGTCGGTCCTTCCCATACGCAATAACAACCAATCCATTCTTGATCAACATCTCGCTATATTCTGCGTGGATTTGCTTGCTAGTGAGAAGCAGAGCGGTGCTATCGTGGCTTGTGACTAGTTTTCTTGGATACATATTTGAAAAGATGAGAACTGGATCGTCGTCACGGGCTGCAAACGCGTAGACGAAGTCTCGAAGCTCCCTTGGAAGATCCAGAAATCCAGTCATGGCTGATATTGATCGCAATTGAAGTTATCTCGTGGCCACGTAAGGTAAAGAGGGTGCACACCTTGATATAATATTAGAATGCTCATTCACCTAAAGCGGAAATTTATCATGATGTACTTACAACGCCGTTTATTAATCAGATCATGATTAGTACGATATGAAAAAAAAAAACAACCTGTACCAGAAGTTCATGACACCCGCGATTAAATGTAATCAACTATACTTTTTCATGAGGAAATATGCGTTACACATTCTCGATGCCATCCTCGTCACATGAAAACACCTTGATGGCACCTGCAGCACCTTGATGGCACCTGCAGCACCTTGATGGATAAGATTGTAGAGCTTGAATTAGTTGATTGGCTGGTCATGACGGACCAATAACCGGCTCCATGCTAGAGAAACAGGAATGCAGTGAAAGCGCGACAAACAACTGAACGTGGCCGAAAAGTGAAGAAACTTTTTCTCTTTAATAAACTAATATCTGACTTGTCACCGAGCCCGTCTCCAGTATTGAGGTCCTGAAGGTTCACCACAACATGGTGTCCCTTCTGTCGCCTAAAACAAGACACCCTTCATCTGCTGACGATCGATCTTAACATTCTTGATTAAGAACACGCAAACGACGGCAATCGACATGATTGAAGTTCCTGCAATCAACATGCGTCTTTGAGCAGCCCCATAACTCTGCATAATTGCTTCACGGCAAGGATCATCCATTGGATAGCTCAATTGAACCGTCAAGTCGTTGTAGATAGTTTCCCAGTCGGCAGAGCAAGATTCCGGTAGTAGTTTTTGCAGTTGAACCGGTAGCGTGTTTGTCCAAATGGCACCTGAGATAGAATTGCCAATTGCCCCGCCAATGTAACCGAAGAGACCTAAGATGGCCAAAACTGCTGCAATATCTCCGTGTTCCGCCACGGACATGACTGAAACTTGCATGCACAGAATCATGGTCGAACCGGAGAAAGCCAGGAAGATCTGGCACATGATAATATAGCCTATGTTTGTATGAGGTCGTCGGAAGTAGATGAGAAGTCCAACACCGAGCATGTAGAGCGGAACCGCACTTAGAAGCAGCCACTTGAACCTTCCTGTCCGCATCATGAGGAATCCAACAAAGATAAGCCACAACCCAGCGATGATATCGAATATGCCGGTTACCCAGCCTGCCTGTGTAATTGTGAGATTATTGACGACCTGCAAGTAGGAGGAGAAGTAAGAGCCCCAGCAATAGTACGCGATTTGATAAGTGGAATCCAAGATACAAGTGCCAAGAATGGTTCGCGATATCAGCAATCGGTACGGGATGAATGGCTTGGAGGCAAAGAATCTCTCGTGGATGACGAATGTCAGCAACAACAGGAAACCAATGACCAACATTGATATCGTAGACGCTCGTTTCCAACTCTCAGCGGTGTAGTCAGCGAGCGAAAACGGTAGCAAGAAGATGACAAGCCCCGCTGCGAGGAGGAAAACGCCGATCCCTTCTTTTGTCAGAGCGATATATCAAAGTGCAAGGTGTCTGTTTCTTACCATCGAACTCGATGACATAGTGCCAAACGCTTTCCACAAGGGTTCTTCCACTTTTTTCTTTGACAAGCAATCCGTTCTTCTTAGCCTTGCGCTCGTTTCGCAAGAGGAGCAAAAAAAGCGGGGTTGCAACGAATGGTAGAATGATGGAAAAGCAGCCAAATGCCCAGCGCCACGAAATATTCTCGTAGAAGCCTTCAGCAGCCTTCGGGCCTGCAAGAGCAGTGATGATGTAAGGCGACGAGGTAAAGGCGAAGGCCAGACCACGATGCCTGAGCTTCGAAGAATCCGCAGTCATTACGTCTATGCTGAAAATCATCCCGGTGAACCCAATGGAATAGAATACCTGCGCAGCACAGAAAGTTTGTACGTTGGACGTGGTGGCCATGAGGATTAAGCCCATGGTCGCGAGACTAGCCATGGCGAAAAACCCTTGGGCACGACCCCATAAGTCAAGAATCTTGGCCAATGGTAGGTATGTCGCAGCCGACATGACATTGGAGACGATGTAGATGACGGGGATCAGGGAGTGCGATTCAAAGCCGCTAAGAACGTATGCTGTCAAGTTTGCGGTGATGGAAGCCTGGAATGCGTTGACGAAGTACAGCAAAAAAAACCTAACGATTCAGCAGTCTGACATTTGAGGCGGAGCCAACTACTCACGAGACGTATGCAACGACGAGCTCCGGACGGGTCCAAGTCAGGGTAATGGCCTCGACTTTCTTAACACCTCCTTGCGCCCCTGGGTCAGGGGAGCGGCCGTCCAACTGCTCATGAGCGAGGTTGCTATCCTTTGCAGGCTCAACGTTGGGCTGAGGAAGCTTGGACTCGCCGGTTTCAAGCACGGCTTCATGCCCAAGGCCAGCTGGACTCTGGGGTTTCAAAGGATTGCGCAACGGAAAAGGCATGATGGGGATGACGAGGAGGAATGTAAGGGACGATGCAAAAGCGTTTCTGACGCTGCTTCAGCGAGCCACCTGCGAGGGCATCTCGGATCTATAATTGCTCACAGGAGCTAGAAAATCTCTGCTGGTCCAGAGGACTGTAGCTGTCACCCGAGCTCGCTGGCATCACGTAGCCAAGACGCCGGGTTCTCTTTCGCAAGGTCGAAGAAGGCGGCACCCAAGCCTTAGCATGGGCGGCAAGCCGTCTGGACAGAGCATGTGTGCGGTTTTTGAAGACAAAATGTCAGATGAGAAAGCTTCCAAAGCGACTTGGCACGCGGCATGGCGCAGAGAACGAGGCGGGCTAGACCTGAGCATCTTATCAGATTGATATGATATGATTGATCAAACGCGGCCCGCTCCAGTCGCTCCTTCCAAGAAAAAGGCGCCTGAGGGTGGGCCCGCGACCGGAGCGCGCCTTGGCACGGCCGATATCGGACGGGCTTGCTCCAAGCGAAATCAAGCCACGTGAAGAGAATCGACGAAGCGGCAGCAGGGTCGCACCTCCTCTGCGCACTCGCGTGGCGCTTTGCGACCTGCCGTGGAAGCCCGCCAGCGCGCTTGTCACGGCTGGGCATGACCCGCGCCAAGTCTTCGGTGGTTTCTTGCGCTGTACTTGTGGCAGGCTGGCCCAATCGCGTTGATCCGCTGGCGGGGCTTCGGGCCTGGTCTGGACGCTGGACGCGGTGACACGATGACCCGCGAGCAGTTTTGGAAGCGATAGCCCAACAGCGCCCACGAGGCAATCTAGCCGTGAAGCCTTCTCCTTTGACGCTTCCGCTGCGGATTGGGTTGTACTGGGGAGACCTTGGAACAGGCCGATCCAGCACCAAGCTCTTGAACAAATTGCTTCAAACCTTCAGCCCAAACATAGGGGCAATGAACCCAGGCAGATGTGGCGAAGATGGTCGAATTCGACGGGATACTTGGCAGAAATATAAAGTTCATTGTGGACTGCAGCTCTTCAGTCTGTACACATGTGTTGAATATTGAAACGTCGTCTATGACGTGCAAAAGTCCCATATCTGTCTACTCATCTTGACGCTGGGTATATCTACATATCTCATAAATATGTCTGCAAAATAGATCGTAGTGGGCATGAAAATCAAAAATCCCAGACACGCGCTGGCGTTAAAGTCGCGATCCAGAGAGCCAAGGCGTCCGTAAACGATGTTGAGAAAGCGCGGTACAAGTGCCCAGCCGCAGAGTTTGACCCAAGGACCGTGGACCAAGTAGAGCGAGTAGGACAGTCGGCCAAGGTATTGTGGAACGGGCATGTTGAGCAAATGTTGGAGAGGCTCCCAATTTGTCGTTGCAAGGATGAGGAGTAGAGCGCCGAGGAACTGGTACATGTTGAAGAGATAGCTGGACGGAATTTTCCCAATGTCGCGGAGCAGGTGCCAACCCCATCCTGGATCAGAGTCGTAAAGGTGCAATGATGGCACGGAGATGAGATACATCATAACAACCATCACGACCATCCACCAATGTGACGACATTCGGAGGTGAGACCTGTGCTTCTCCGTCGCGTCACAGCCCAACTCCATCGACAGTCTGTTTGCGACGTTGATTTCGGCCACAAACGTTCCACCAAGAAAGAGAACGACCTCCCAGGCTCGAGGCTCCCACTGTATCGCCCAGGCCATGATCAAGACGATCAGAGAGAGACGAAGGATCAACCTTCTCACCCTGGCCAGGGCAATAACCGACATGAAGACGACGATTGAGGAGCGATATTCGACCGAAATGGTCCACGCGTCGCTATCAATATCGACAGGCCCGTAGCGTTCCCATGTGAAGGAGTGGAATAAGTGCCTCCAAGTTTGAAGCCAAATAGACATTTGATCCCACGCATTCTCCCCGCGTTTTGGAAATGGGCCTGGAAGATGTCCCATGGACTCTGCGTAGCCGTCGTGCTGTGTCCTCGAGTATTCGTATATTCCACACCAGACTAAGAAGCCAGTGATGGCGAAGGACACGCCAACAGGAAAGAACAGTCGCATCCACCTCCTAAATATCGCCGAAGGCATTGAGCCGAGCGCCTTGTCGATCTGCCCACGACGAATAAGCTCGATGAAGCGGTGAGAAAGAACATAGCCACTGATCATGAAGAAGATCGCGACCATGTTCGGGCCGTTGTAAAACGCTTTGACAATGGGTAGGTTCAGCCACGTTGCAAGCGGTCCTCCGTTGGGGCTATCCCAATCCCATATGTATCCCTTATCGAGCTCGTAGAATTCGCCGAAGAAGTGGTATAGGGCGACAATCAGACAGGAGACTCCGCGTAGTCCGTCGAGAGCGCCATTCGCGCCACCTCTGCTCTTCTCATGCTCGCCATCACTACCAGAGAGGAAACTCGGTCTTAGCACTTGACGGATCCGCTTCCAGGACAGATAGTGGATCAAGGCTGCCCAGATCGACAGGAAAAGTTGTGCGAGCAAGATACTGACAGGCAATGAGGCCTGGCTGTGATGAAAGCCAGCTTGGGCTTCACGGTCGCGTGCCCATTCTGAAATCTCGTTTTCGCTTGAAGAGCTCACACGCTGCTCGTGGATAACAGCGTCATCGTCGTTGTAGAGACGCGCGTTCTCGCCTGACATGGCTCCACGCGTCCAACCAAGCGGTCAATCCGCTTACGGGAGCAAGCGCCAGGAGCGCCGGGATGAACGCGCACAGCGGGAAAGGCAGAACTAGAAAAAGAACGAAGACTGCTAAATCTTCGCAGCAAATGAGCGACGCTATTAAGAGAAGGACATTGTGGTGAACGGTTGCGTAAAAAAAGGATTGCAACTTGAAATGGATATTAAGGGGAGGCAGTCAGGTGCAGCCTTTACTTCAGCTTTGGCGAAGTTGACACGGCACAAAATAGCTGATGCCCCACATCCGCTTTTGATTAAATACGATACTCAAGGCTACGTGATAGGCGCAGTGACAGGTGTGGCGAACACACAGGATAGCCCAGACGGGCTGGCAATTGGATGGCAAGAGGGATTTGACAGGACGTCAGGACTCGGGGGGTTAGCGAGCACGCGACTCGCACTTCGACATCCCCTTTGTGGCGCTTGCCAGACCTCAGTCGGGTTAGGAATTCAGGATTGGGGGCTGAACAGCCAAGCGACGTCGAAGGAGCACGCAGAGCGAATGCTCGTTGCTGTTGAACGGGCTTTGCTTCCCACATAACTGAATGTTGACGACGAACTCCTCTCGTCCACATCGTCTGGAGGCCAAACCCATCGACCGTCACGCCGGAGTGATTTCCATGCGACCGCAAGTCGCCGTTCTCTGCGCTGCCCTGCTTTTTATCTCTTTGCGGAAATGAAGCCAAGGCGCTGCCCTCACGCCTGCGCTTACTAGCGCCACTTCATATTGCGGCTGTCGTCGTGCCTTTGTTACGATCCGTTTGATCCGTCATTCGCACTCCGTGTGCGCAGAACCATGACAACCATGGAGCCCGAGGACCAGCCCACAGCACCTCGTTGACGACTGCGTTTTGGCAATGTAGAAAGGCCGCGGCCGAGCCGGTCGACAAGCAGCGAGCCCACCGGCTACGAGCGCGGCTTCAAGAGTAAAACAGGCGGGAGCAACTGCCGCCGTCAGACGATGGGGATAGCGTCAACGGTCGCCCCTATACTGCACCCCCTTTCCAGCCCCTCACTCATAGTCAGGAAATACGATACAGTTCCACCGAGTCTTTTTACATTCTTCTGCATTCAGTCTCCTGTGTTGTCAACCACAGTCAACCCGCGAAAACGCATTGCTTCAGAACCCCACTCCAGATTCTCCACAATCACTCCTTTTTTAACCTGAGCTAGGTTACACAGCAGCTTCTCTCAACGCGCTCGGAGTCGAAGTCCGCATAGGGGAGAGAGGCCTTTAGGACCCACGAGCAGGTTCTGGTAGAACAGAGTGTGCTGTTGTTGGCTGTGACGATCTGCTTGTACGCAAATGGCTTCTGCACGGCACCGTAAGACTCCAAGGGTACCTCTCGCAACATGACGGATAGCAGCTCTGGCGGACGGGTGCCAGAACGCTTCTCTGTGACTTCGGTAACTCAATTGTCATCGATGCATGCGCTCGCGTCTTGAGGTCAGTTCATCACACAGGCCGGACGGGGTGGATTTGACATGGAGCGTTTTTGAAGTGAAAGGATTCAGTGTATTTTCTTTTTTTTTTTTTTTTTGGATTCGCAACCAGAACTGCGTTGGCAAGCCTGGCTAAACAGAGGAAAAAAAAAATATTCCAAAGCTTTTACGTCCAACTCTCCTGCTGAGTTAGTAAACCATCCCCACTGCTGCTGCGACCTGTTGGGTTTTCACCTAGCCAATGCATCTGAGAAATCACAAAAGCCAATGGCTCGATTGTCTGCAGGAGATTAATGATTGAGTCGAATGCATCCATTGTTGTCGGACAAGTTTTACGCATTCTCTTGTGTGTGCTCCTGCCATCTAGCTTTGCGAGTCTTTTCTTTGTCAGCCGTACTTGGGTTGTGATCATGTCTACGGAGCACTCATAACCAGACTCTATCATTCAGATCGACATTTTCCCCTATTAACAAGTCTGACACGTGATCCTTGTTGTCTCTGAAACTTTTTTTTTCATCTTCGATCTTTAACTCTCCTCGTATGTTTCATGCCCTTAGTGCCAGGAGTAATATGCATTAAATGCAGTGGAAGGGAGAGGGAGGGGGGGACAACAAAGCGACAGCTACGACGAGACAATCAATTTCAGGACCACAGTCGAAGGATTCTGTCACGGGCCTAGCTAGATGCAAGGGTTAAGATCTTTACTTGCTGCCATCCGTACATGATAGACGTGGAGACCGAGGACAAGCAATAAGCGAGCATCGGGCACGCAACGTGTATATTGTAGAATTCGTATTGGGTATCACATTTATGTCAATCTAGTACATTGTCTACTACCTTTCCAGTCTTTGGGTTGCGGTTCGCCTCGACCAAGCCCTTGCATGTGGGGAGCCCTATCGCGAAGCCCTACTAACGCATGGCTTCAGGCGCTTCTCATGGGTATCCAAACTGGTTAGCGAACATGGTCGCCTTGTCCGAGGGCCTGTCATGTTTTCCATGCAAGCTGTGCACCAGCCTTGTTGACGGCTTCAAGATTCCGTCTCTTTTTGCGCACCAGTGCTTGATTTCTGTTTCCTTTCCTTTTATTTGGCCTTGACAAAAATCCGGTCAAGTGAGACTTCCTTGCTCTCGCACGCATACCTAGCCCTCTTTTGTGAAGAACAATGGAGATTCTTCGTCGTTCATTCCGGATCTATCGATCGTGTGTTATACAATCATCATTTGTCCATTCGCTCGAGAGAGAGCGCAATGATAACGTCATGGTGCTGTGATTGGATCCCAGACATAACAATGACATGCCGATGCCTGCATCGATGTGGGCTGTTGTGTACGTTGTGTAGTTGATGGTTTGGATAGAATAAGGCGGAGCTAGCATCCCATTCAACGCGAGCCCAGAGTTGCCAATGGCCAGTCATTGCGCAATGGTGGGTGAAGCTCCGGGTCTAGTCATACCAGACTCTCTTCCGATTCTGCTATGACGCTGGGTAGACGGCCAACGCGGCCCTCAGGATGTTTCTCGTCTCGAACGCCAATTTCTTGTACCGACCGCCTTGACCTTTTTGAAAAATCGTCCATGCGGTGAGTTTCCGCGGCGTTGCTGCCTCCGCTCCGTGTCCCATACGAACTTGTTTTGAGGAAGAAGAAAAACTTCTTGGACAAAGGCCGCAAACAGGGAACTGAGGCACAAATAATCGCCAAGTCACACTCGATGCAGGTCCATATCCAAACAGAGTATCCCCACCATGTGATGTCGAAGGTAGTGATTGCTTTGTCCATCACGATAGTTCGGACAATCGAAGCTATCGAGGCTCTGCTCGTCCTGTTAGCAATCCATCGTTTTGTATTGCACATAGGGGCACACGAACACTAGTCCCAGGCTGAGTAGGACGTACAAGACGACCTTCTCGCGCGTTGCAATTTTGACCTGCCAGACGATTCGAAGGGGCATGAGACAGACGACAAAATCAGTAAAAATGTTTATGAGTACACAGGCCAGAAGCCTCGCGTCGTCGTTCATTGGACAGCCCTTGTAGGTCCTCTGAAGCCAGAAGTTCTGCACCGGAATGCACTCGAAGATCGTAGTAATCATGGACCCAATAAACCAGCTAGTCACCACAACAATCGCGGCGTACACTGAGAGCCTAAACTTTCCTGGTCGTGAAAAGCGAAGGTATGAAACCAACAGTGCGACCTTGGTGAGGAACATGTTGCAGATGTACATCAATTGGATGATCCAACTGAGCAGTTCGCTGGGCGAGTACCATTCTGGCTTCTGGTCCCATACATGAATACCCCACCCATATGAAGTGCACATGAATGATGCAACTGCGAGCGCAAGGGCTGGAAGCTGTGACGCATTGTCAATGGTTGCTTTGAGTGAGATAGATGGTACATTTAAACATACCAGACATATCAAAATTAGCCAGTCGTCCACGCCGAACGATCTTAACAGCCAGCCTCTCACGTATATTCTGAGGGCGACCACAATATACGCCAAGACGCAAAAAAGTATGGAAATCACGTTAAGCGCTGGGCCGGCGGTGACGGGATTGACGGAGTTTCGCGGAGGCCATTTGGCCTGAACATCGGCCGGAGGAACCTCCCGCACCATTGTGGTGACACGGAGAGAGCAGGGCGAAGACAGATGATGGCGACAACGACGATAATAGAGGTTCTCGAGAAACTAGACCGAGGGCTTTAGAAACCCTCCATGTGGCACATGAACTGCTGCAGAGATCACGAACCGCGAGATTGGGTTCTAGGATCGACTTTTATCGGGCCCTGGAAGATAGCCATCTGCTACTTGTGCACTGGTATAACGCGACCCGTTTTGCGTACGCGACCAATATAGACATCGTTTGCATGCAGTCAGAACGCCACCCGGAAAGATAGCATCATGGACTTCCATGAATCGTTTGCGAACTATGTTAGGTGTGCTGTGAAGGATTTGGCATAGGGGTGGCTGTAGAATATCGACTTCATTGGCAAACACGCTGGCACCCATGCAAAGTCAAATTCTCTCCTGAAACGTTTGATGGGCCAACACTGGAATCCTGTGAAATTGGCCGTCCTTGCAAGTCTGCCGCTTTCCGAATCAAGGGAAGGTTACGGAGCACAGCTACACTACTGCAGCAGAAGTGCGCGCAGAAAACTTGGGTGGAGAATCTCGTGGCGTTGTGGTGATGTAGACACCGGAGCCAGATGAGCGATCCTGAATGCGGCCCACTAAACTAGCGCGTACGTTACGCCATCGCCCCAGCGAGAGCCGTTGCTGGAGAAAAGCATAGCAAAGTGAGAGAGCCCGATACGTGTGGTGTGCGCGGAGAGCAGCAGCAGCAACAGCTGACAGATGCAGACGAGTAGAGAGGCGTCGAACACAATCCACATGTGGTTTCTGCGGTATAGAGAGAAGACCTTCGATGGCGAATCGCTGTCGACATAGCCTGACACAGAACTGCGGGACCTTACTCAATTCAAAAGCTCGGGACAGAGTTGGCCCCAAGCACGATCGCGTTATGCCGGGCACGCTTACCATGAATCCCTTGACCATAGGTTGGTCAACGAACAAAGCGGGCTCTCACAATTCCTCGGTGTTTTGCACGGCATTGCGTAGACTATCTTTCTTTCGCACGGGTATAAGCCAAACGACACGACAGATCCGTTGGCATGGATCGCCGGACTCTTATGGTCTCCCAAGAAATTGGGTACTAGGTGCTCAGGATCGCGGTTGTTTATAAGTGGAGTATAGCACCACTTACAACGCTGTGCCGTCTTGTCCGCTGCTTTGGACATGTTCCATCTGTGCCGACGAATTTCTAGAACGCCACCTCTGCTTGAGCGCCCCTAAACTAAAAGCGGGTCAAAATTTTGTGCGCTCGATTTTGCTCAACTGGACTACCAAAGCCCCTGCAGCAAATGCTGCTTGCACACGATCAAGAAGACCAGATCCACGGAGTTCCAAGATTCGTTAATCCAATCAATTGTCCCCATGCGTCTTGGAATCGTGAATGAAGATGTCGGATAGATCGGAATAGCATCGTTTCCCCAATGTAGGCCTCAGGGCCTGAATTTTATCGACAACTGAATCGCTAGCGGCCTGTCCGATCGCCAATCTATATGCCACAACTGAAGCATCGTCCTATGGGACCGATCTTCCGTGAACATACATACCTCCGAGCGTGCTAGTACAAGTACAGTATGCATGGCGCAGCGGCAACTTCCTTGGTGTGCCCATTGGAAGCTTTCTGGCTAGAAACCCAAGCCAACGCATGAAGAAGATGAGAACTTCGTCCGAAATCTTTGCTCATCTGATCCCCACAGACTTGGCGACGTCGTTCCTATGCAATCTTTCGTGCCCAGATTTTCACCCGTCCCTAGCCACCTATGATCTTCCCTCGCGCTACTCCAACCTCGCGTCGTCTTCCTTTTGAGGACAAGTTTGAATGGTGATCATGTTATTTTATTCATAGAATCCGTGTCGCAACTAATTGGGCCCAAACGGAGCAGCGAGCTTACATACTTTAGCGCTCACTTTGACGCGGTTGGACTGTACCGCTCGCCTGTTTGCTCAAACTGCTCATTTATCAGGCTAAACTGCCACAGTAGCTGAGAGATACAAGTCAACTATGAAGCTTCTTGCTTTGGTCAGGAGAAATGAATGAAAGTCCACGACAATAGCCCAATCCATTGGCATTCAGAGAACGTTGTTGCTCCCCATTTGCCTGTTTATTAATGGCCTGTTCTATGGATCTGCTGTCAGCCTCTTCGAGGATAGCCAAAATAAAAAAGATGCACCTCTGCTCAGTGAGTCGTCTTAGGTTAACCTGGCGAAAGTATCCGTCATCTGCTTGAATATTGCTTTCAAAGCAACGCAAGCCATGAAGTCCTCGGCATTCTTTGTGCTTTGTGTCCGTTCATCTGAGACTATCAAGACCGTACTTGCTATGCCACCCAAATGCAGTTGTGGGATATCTGTCCTGGTAGTCGATGGCGTACAAAGACGTAGAACAAGACAGAATTTCAATTCCTGCTTTTATAGTGTTTCGATCATTAGACATGTATCTCCGCAAGCAGTCTCTCAACTTGTCCACCTTGTGTAAGAGGGCCAATGTCATTGTAAAGGGATTAATACGCTTTACCTCTGAATTTTTGGAGCTTTTCCGTGCAATTTCTCCGTTCCAGTATAACCTAGGCGAATACATTTCATCGTCGCTTTGGGCTGGTTCCAACACAAGTGCGCCACTTCCTTCCTTGACTAACCTCCTGCAACTAGTGTGACTTATTCTAGCATCCGTTTGCGCCAAATACTCTACAAGGACGTGCTAAGTTAGACATATTGCTAGAAGAGACGAACTTGTTGCGCTAAACGTGCCCCGGCGCAAGAGATTCCGCCATAGAAGTATCAACTCCGCCTTGTCTATGCTTCCTCGTAATTCTCTTACCAGGAGCTTATCTTCCAAGGTCCAAGTCGAGAAAATCAAATTTGGGGGTGTAAGGATCGTAAAAGCATGGACTAGCACATTGGGCAAAACATATATTCTTCTGAAGCTTCATGTCCGTTTTTGGACTTCATCTGCGAACATCTGAAGCAGTCGTACGCAACCTAGCCCCTATGCGTAATACTCTGTGGACTGTACTGTCCAGAAAGAGAAAGTCTACTCTCAATCACAGGACCAACCACTCGAACTAAGGTTTATGGATTTAAAATTCAATCTCATTTCGCTTTATAGTCCCTACAATAGGCTAATTCGTCTCCATTCAGACTCGTGATGTATTTTTGGAGGCTACAATAGACATCTTCAGTGATCAAAGTTGCTTTCGATTCTTGATGAAGGGCCTCGGGAAATTTCACGGCGAATTAATAGGCACAATCTCCTATCAATCATAGCAATCTCGTCACAACAGCAATTCCATAAGGTAAGAGAATTGAGATGGGGTAATCGAAGCTACTTTTATATGCTGCTCCAAGGCTTGCCATGCCTCACAATATATTCGAAATTTCATTATGATAATGTTCGTTGCTATTTCCCGCCGTGCAATCAATCGTCCCGACGCTGCCTTATATAATACCTTCACTACACTATCGCACGATAATATCAGAGGCAGCAATCTTAGGCAGATCATTTAATTAATACAGCATGATCGGTTCAAGAATTTGCACATTATGTAACTTAAGCTGAATTCAATCAGTCAAAGGCAAGTCGTCAGTTAAAAACCTAGCGGAGGTATTCATCTCGAATCACGATGAGACAACTGGGATCATTTAATGTGAGCAGCATCTGAAACCAGTCTTTTTAAGCCCACTTTGGAGATACCAATTGACAGAAGTTCTTCGGATAACCCTCGTCAGGCGGTGCCTGTCCTTGTCTTATAATCTCCGCGAACTTATCCGCTCGGCGATCAAACCCCGCAGCAGTTATGTCGCATAGCCGATACCGCGACTGATTGTCGAACTTGAACTACACGTACTTTATTACTCTAGAACCTTTGACTATTGAACAAATGAATGCTAGGTCTGCATTCGACCTTGCTATACCATGCTGTCACGCGTAAGAGTACCGATTCATCATCGTCGTGCGGGTGTCCTTGTTGCTCGACGAGGGTTCCAGTCTCGAACGCGCTTCTTCAAGCCACCAACTGCAGCCGCCTTAGCGCACGAGGAAGGCGAAAATGTTGTGTTGGGCGCTCTTGGAAAGACAACGTCGGGGAAAAGGCTGAAAATCAGGACGTATCCTACGTTTGAGCGTCTTGAAGACGAGAGATTGTATCGAAAGCAGCACCTCGCTGCAGCATTTAGAATATTCGCCGAGAGGGGTTTCGACGAAGGTGTCGCTGGGCACATAAGTGCGAGAACCCCCCAATGGTTCGGTGTTGATTGGATGAACTAACAACAAAAAAACGAAGGTGTCAGAGACCCTATTCTCACAGATCATTTCTGTAAGTCAAGTATGATATGCTCCTTTCGATTTTCCACGCTGATGAGTTTTTTCTTGGAGGGCTGAATCCACTTTCTATGCACTTCTCGCAGATTTGCGTCTCAGACTTGATCCTGGCAGATGAGAATGGCAACATCGTAGAAGGCAACCAGCCGATCAACGCGGCGGCATTCGCAATCCACTCAGAGGTACACAAAGCCCGGCCGGACACGAACGCGGCGTGCCACGCCCACTCCGTGGCAGGCAAAGCGTTTTCCGCATTCGGACGCCATCTGGACATGATTACGCAGGACTCTCTGCGCTTCTACAAGTCGCATGGCGTGTATGACCAGTTTGGAGGAGCGGTGCTCGATCGCGAAGAAGGCAAGCGTATAGCAACTGCTCTTGGAGACGGTAAAGCCGTGATCTTGCAAAATCACGGCTTATTGACGGTAGGGCAAAGCTTGGATGAGGCTGCGTTCTGGTTTATGAGTTTGGATCGAACTTGTCAGGCACAACTTTTGGTCGACGCGGCCGCTGCGGGGAGCGGGAACAAACCCAAAATCATCCAAGATGAAGAGGCGGCTTTTACGTATCAACAGGTAGGGACGCCGGCTAAAGGATGGCTTGCGTTTCAGTCATACTATGATGAGATTCTTGCAAAGACGGGCGGAGACTTTTTGAGGTAGAGTTGCGGTAGCTGTAGTCTCAACAAAAGAACGCTACTTGCAACCGTAACGATAGGACTAAGCGGCCGAGACCATCATCAAGTAGTAACGGTGATTTGCAACGACTTGAACGCTTTGTCTTCCACCGACTCAACCCATTGGCTTGGCTGATCAGAACCTGTCCTAATGAAACTCAAATGCAGTCCCCAGTTCTAGGATATTTCTATGCTCAATCTTCCGATAGGTCAGCAGAGATTGTGTTTGAACAGAAGTTTTCTTTTCAAGAAAAAAGGAAAAGGGGAGATGGGAAAGGGGAAAGGGGGATACGGGGAATAAGCCAGAGTCTCATATCGGATCGGGTTAAGCAATGGAAGCAGGCCAAGGGGTTCAGACACAGGAGACATGCTCTACGAATAATACGAGCCGTACGTCATGCAAATGGATGGAAAAAGAAAGAAGAAGTGCAGGCAAAATTTCGCAGAGGCTCGACCGAACCTCTTTTCAAACAAACGAGAAGTTCATGGTCGATATCGCAAATTGCATGCGTCCTTAGCAGGCTCGCATAGTCCGTATTATTGTCTGTTAGCAGTCTCGACGCAGGGACTCGACAATCCTTTCCAGGCCGGCTTCTGATCGTAACTTGTGGCCAGGTACGTGCTGGAATCGAAACTTCGGCAATCCTGAAGATCTTTCATGAAGCAAGCGTCATGCTCGTTCCGGCAGGTACCACAGGCTCTCTGCGCGCATAAGTCTGACTGTGATGTGCCAAGAGCAAAGGTGTAACGGCTGTGATGCTGGACACAAGTTCTTTCTCCCGATGGGGGTTGTGGGCAGGCTCAGAAAAAGGCTTGCCTGTCCGCTACGGTCCTTACACACAGCCAGTATTTCCAACGCATCGAAAGCAAAATGCTGCTTGCTTAGTGTCTGTCATGACGGTGGAGCAAGTATCGCTACCTGTTCACGAGGATAGAACGGCGGGTATGGGGCAACGTGGAAAAAGTGGCTGGATCACATTGGCTGAGGCACGTGATCGGCGGAAAAGCGCCGGGATTAGGGTTGGGGCTAGGTCTGAGGCTGGGGTGGCGCTGCACAGCCGCGCGCTCGGATCAGCGCTGTGGGATCGCACAAGGAACACGTGGGCTGAAGCGTGGAAGTTACCAAGAATAGTCCGTCCTTTTTGCCTCCCAATAGTCAACCAGTGCAACCGTGTCAGTGCCAACCCGTATGGTCATGTAGCAGGAGCAGTGCTTGCACCCTAACAGTGATCAAAAACCGCCGTGGCAGGAGAAGAGAGTCCACTTCGGTGAAACGCGTGCGGTTTCTTTTGCTCCCTCGGTCGACCTATCATCCGGCGAGTTCGGGGGCTGGTCTGCAACATGCTGGCCATTCAGCCGCCAGCCAAGCAAACGCAGGAGATTCGAGCTGGGCATGTCAGCTGGACTCTGAAAATATTGAGTAACATCGCAGAGATGCCAGTGTTTGACGTCTCCTGACCAAGCTCCAGACATGGTCGCAATGCATGATTCCAGATCTGATCACGGCCTTGGCCTCGTCGCAGACTTGGGGACAGATCGGCTAATGGCAGAGAGAGCTGCATTTGGCATCCGTCCTTCTATTCTGTTCTGCGCCCCACTTGCAGGAGCTCGAGGTCATGATACTTTGTATCTCACCTGCCGACGGTCACTTTTTAAAAGTCCCACCAACGCTCGCTTTCTTGTCACCCAAAGACTCCCATCTTACAGTCACTCGCTTGCTATCGAGTTTAGGGCAATATATTTGTTCGAGTCCCCGGCACAACCTGAGCTCGCTCTGTCGTTACTTCGATACCCCGCCCTGCAGTCGTTCTAATTACCATAATCATTACTGCCTTTTGCTATTGCGACCCACGAGAAGAACGAGCCAGATATGCGTACGGTCAAGTCTGCTGTGCTCTTCTTGTCGGCTCTCTCGCCGGCGGTTCTTGCTCAGACCTTCTCGAGCTGCAAAGATGATTTGCCTTCATGCCCTGTCGACCCCGCCCAGAAAAACCCAGTCCTAGATGCGAACTTTGGTTCTGGCGGTACCCCACCGGCAGGGTGGAAGCAATCGGCGTGCAAAGGGAAGGCGACATATGATTCCAACGGTGTTAGCCTCACCGTTGCTGAGTCAGGTGACTGCCCAGCTTTGGAGACGGAAGACTACTTCTTCTTTGGCATGGTTGAGGTATGCATTACGGCCTGTGAAGTCACGCCAGGCATCAACTAATGGCATTCCACAGGTGAAAATGAAAGCAGCACCGGGCGCCGGAATCGTCTCCTCAATTGTCATGGAGAGCGATGCCCTCGACGAGATTGATTGGGTACGTGAAAAGGGTACTTCATGCGCTTTGAAAGCATTCAGGCTGACAGAGCAACCAGGAATTCATCGGCGGAGAAAATTACCGCGTCCAATCGAATTATTTCGGCAAGGGTGATACTTCCTCGTACGACCGTATGGTGTACATTCCAGTCAGTGATCCACAGAACCAGGCTCATACGTATGCTGTCAACTGGACCTCGTCGGCCATCACGTGGTTTGTCGATGGAGCGGCTGTGCGTACTCTTCTCTACGCCGATGCCCAAGGTGGCACGCGTTTCCCCCAAACCCCGATGAAACTAAAGGTTGGAATCTGGGCTGGCGGCGACCCCACAAATAATGCCCCAGGAACTGTTGCATGGGCCATGGGCGGCCAGCCGGGCACCACCAATTATGCTGACGGCCCGTTCTCCATGTACGTCGAGAGCGTCAAAATCGTCAACTACAGCCCAGCAGATTCCTACACGTATGGAGACAACTCAGGAACCTGGCAGTCAATCAAGGTTCAGGGCGGTTCGACTGGCGGTATTGTCTCCCCTGACCAGATTGCTGCCGAGCAGAGCACTGTGTCCAGCGCGGCTATCACAGTGTCAACGGGTTCCGCTCCACCAGTTCAGCCATTGGCCACGGTGACGGCAAATAGCACAACCAGTTCCACCTTAGTGACCAGCGTACAGTCAAGCTCAACCAGCGTTGAAACTGCTTCGGCTACCGCACAGTCTGGTTCACCCAGTGTTGCGTCTACAAGTACAACCAGCAGCGTCAGTGCATCTCATTCGTCAGGCCCGGTGCAAGCCACCGGCGCGGCGTCATCGGCCCGCATCGCAGGCGGAGTTTCTGCCTCAGCCTTGCTGGGATTCCTGATGGCTGTATTTGCGTAAATGGCCCAAGTTGCATGTTGGTCTTTCGTCACACATTGCATGAGGAATGTGGAGTTGGGACTGTTGGGTTTTTTAAAGCATTTTTGTTTAATGACTTATATGTGATACCTCGAGTGTACAATACAGGAACAAGCTTTGTCGAGAGAAGAGAACGAATGAAGAATTCAAAATCTGTGCGATCCATGCGTGCCACGAAAGAAGGGGACGGTTGTAGTGACGCGGGAAGACGTCGTCGCGAACGTGTGGAAAAAACGTGATTACTGTCGATGCATGGAGAATGGACAAAAGGATTGAAGAAGCCGCTAGGCACAGCGCAAATCGTGCCATGGACAAGAACGACGGGAGCGGCATCAACAAGAACGATCACAGTTCTTCGGCAAGCCGTAGCGGAAACGCAGCGCTGAGACTGTGGCTGGGGAAGCGTTGGTCATCGGATCCGAGGCAGTTCCGCGTCGACCAGTCAGGGCCTCGAATCAGCGTTTGGCCGCGGCGTGCTCCGTCTGAGAACAACTTTAGAAACGGCAAGCGCTAGGCCGCAAAGGGAACTATCAGACCACATATCTTCCCATCGTACCAGCGTCTCCCCGAACAGGCCCGCCCCGACGTCTTGGGAGAATGGCAAGGTTCCGCCCTTAAGGACAGGAAATTCCCATATGCTCTCACTATATCCTCGTCATACTCTGACCACCAGAGCTCCCCCTGAAAACACATTCCAAGCCATATCAAGTGCAATATGGACGCGCTATACAATTTCCCAGAGCTCGCGAATACGTCGTCATTCTATGACCACCAAGAGACACAATCAGCAAGCAACGATCAATTCTGTGATTTTATCACTGCCAACATGCCGAATAGCATGGTGTCATCGTCTGGCAAAGCTGCATCCGCAGCGCAGAACCAAGGCTTTCCTCCAGTCGACAGCATCCTCTATTCGCCACTCGATGATTGGACACACATATCAGACTACTCGGGCACAGACTCGTACGGTCTCCAAAATCTGTTCGACGAGAGTCCACTGATGTCCACACTGGAGAGGCAAAAGACTTCAGATTCAAAGGCAACGTCGACGCCATCGGCAACACCAAGCGCTCTAAGCGGCTCGCCATCACGCGCCCACACAGAAATCGGTGGATGGGAACCCGCCCCGGAGCCTAAGCGGACCCGACCATCAAAGAGCGACTCAAAATCTGCATGTTGGACGAGTCCCCTCTGCCCAGCATACGGCAAGCCTGGACCACACCCGGACCCATCGACGTGCGGAGGCGGCTGCGGCCCAAACATCTTTGATGACCAGTCGATGGACCAGTGGTTCGAAAGTCTGGGCAAGACCGGCTCCACGGACGGTGCCGGCCTTTTGGAAACTCAGATCACCGGCTTCACGACCACGTCTCCAGAACCGGTAGAGCTCGCTCTGTCAGAAGAGGCAAAGAGCAAGATCACTACGCCGGTCAAAGAAGAAGAAGAAGAGGAAGAGACCGGACCGCGAGTATCGCTGAAGCGAAAGCAGAAGAAGGGATCGGCCAAGCGTGCATCATCGGAAGAATCTACAACTTCACCAGATCCAGCGCCGGCGACGAAACCGGCTCCTGCAAAGCCCAGCAGAAGACAGCCACACAACGAAATCGAAAAGAAGTATCGTGAATCCATCAACACACATCTGGAAGCACTCAAGAACTCGTTACCGGCCTTTCAGCAGCCCAAGAACCAATGCCTGCAAGGCAAGGGCGACATCGAGGATCTTGCGGCTGCGCCAAAGCCATCTAAGAGTATCATCCTGGCCAGTGCCGTCGCGCACATCAAGAAGATTGAAAAAGAGAAGAGACAGATTGAACAGGAGCGGAACCTGCTCAAGCAGCAGGTCAAGGCTCTTCAGGCCTTGGTTAAATGCGACGACTGCTCGCTGATGCAATACGTGATCAGACTTAACGGGCTAACATTGAACAATGGCCCGAGTAATGGGTGTGCTGGCATGCCTCCAAGGATATGATCGTCTGTTCACGACGATGGAACAAATAAAGGTCGAGTGTTAATAATGAGATGTCGAATCATTCTGGCCATACTTACGTACCGGCCTTTCTTACGGCTCTGTCAGGCTGAAAGGAACTGTGCATATTTGGCGTTTTTTTGGCATGTATAATCATATCTAGCGCTCCACGTGGGCGCCTCTGTGACGGGATTCAGCTTGGTTTTGGAAGGCGGTTCCCCCGCTGGTTAAGGATTAGATCACTGCTCGGAACGAGACAGAAGCGCGTCACTCTACTTCAGAAGAGAAGTTTAGCGAATTCTGCAGCAAATGTTATATGGAAATGGCAAACTGTAACGGTCTTCCAATGCAATGATCATGAGAGCCACAAAAGCGCTGAGCAAGACGGAAGGACGACGCGCTGAAGAGGTGGCGCGAATTCGTGCTTGGAGTTTGCACGCTGAGCATAGAAATGGAATGCGAGATCCCACGTCCTGTAAACCACTGCATGAGGCGTAGAGTGCTCTGCCCTCATTCTGGGTGCTCTTGGTAGATGTTGCATGCTTCAACAAAGCATCGGGATCTAATGATTTGTTAGGAGATGTACTCCGTATAGATTGCGACACTCTACCAGTCCTCGCATATCATTAGAGTTTGGAAGTCTTGCTTGAAGCACTTTTATTGTCACGTGATGTAAGGTTCAACTTACATTTGATCATGAACGCGGAGTGCAGCAGAGTACAGCAGAGTGCGGGATGCGGGGGATTATATGACAGTAGCATGGTATTATAAAGCAAGACCGCCCAACGCGCGGATGAAAGAAGACGTAAAAATATTGGGTGATACAAGGCAAACCCTAGAGTAAAAGACGAGCTGACCAGCTGCTGCAGCGGAGCTGAGATGGCGATGAGAGACTGCAAGGCTTGCGTTACATACAGTACAGGAACCTTGCGCATCGCAAACAGGATACGACGACGCATTGCATGGTCATCTGGTTGCCTTGCTACGTCTTTGTGATATGAAAGGTTGACCACCGAGTGCTATTCCGAGCTAGCTGAGATCAAGCGCTCTCTAGTCGGCAAAGCTTCACCAAATCAAGCCTGGACTAAGACGAGCACCTGGCTCAGCAAAGGGGTTCTTGAGCCAGTCTGGGCATAGCTTATCCGGGGAGCCTCATGCGCCGAGTCTCTACAAGACACTTTGGACCCGCCATTCCACAAGTCTGTCCGGATCATTCGCCTCCCAACGAGATTCTGCTGCTTCCAGGCAGACAGTCTCCATGGTCATGTCAACATCCAGTAAAGAGCAGGGGCTGGTACAAACGGGGAATCCAAATGTCGCGCCGCGAAAAACATCGGCTGAAGTGGTCAAGCATTCCAACTCTTCTAGACCTCCCCCACGACAGTAGGCGGGTCTGCCCAGACGCCCGGAGCGGCCGTTTAGTGTGCTTTGCAACAGGCTTCTTCGCGACCTAAACCCTGCAAGGTTGCTTCGCTATGCCTTGTTCAGCGATTCACAATCTTTAGCATCGATTGACCAGTGGAGTTTGTGCGATAACGACATTTAAGGCTGGGATTCGTGATTACCATTCAGACTTTCTGATCGAAGATGCAACGACGAGTCGGTTGCTTAATCTACGACCATGTATAAATACCCCATGCCATTGTGCAGCGCATCCATGCTCGCTCACCATAGACGTCAGCCGCCTGGCTTGCGATCCTGAAAACCACTCTTCCTCGCGTCGATTGTTTAATCAGTTGTTGATTCAGCCATGGCAGAGCCCAAATACGATAACGAAAAGCAGATTGCGGCGAGTAGTGGCTATGTCCAGGACGATTACAGCGAGGAAGGTATCACCTTCGACAGACTTGTCGCTGAAGACCATGGTCACGAGATCAAGCTTAGGACCATGTCATGGCAGAAGGCCGCTTGGCTGCTGGCCGGAGACCAAGTCTGTCTCGCCATCATGGCTCAAACGTGGTCGCTCTCCGTGCTTGGCTGGGTACCAGGAATCATCACCATGCTTCTCGCTGGAGTCCTCTTCTACATCACCTCCCTTACGATGCACAAGTTCATCATGAAACATCCTCAAATCAAGGACATATGCGACTTTGGCTACTACGCGTTCGGCAAATCCACCGTTGCTTACCACTTCACTGCCTTCATGCTGCTCGCCAACAACATCCTCCTCATCGGCTTCCACGTTTTGACCGGTGCCAAGGTCATCAACACCCTTTCTGATCACTCCCAATGCACAATCGTCTTCAACGTGATCACAATGATGATGGGCATCATCATGTCCCTTCCTCGCACCCTGAAGCACGTCTCATTCATGAGCATGTTCTCAGCGGCGTGCATGGGCCTTGCCATCTTGCTCTTCTTGATCTTCGCCGGTATCGAAGATGCTCCGCTCTACGGCTACAACGGCGACTATCCAACGGACGGCCCCGTCCACACGTACGCCTTCCCTCCAGCAGGCACCACCTGGGTCGCATGCATGAATGCCGTGCTCAACATCACCTTCCTCTGGGTTCCACAGATCCTCTTCCCAACCTTCATCGCGGAGATGGAAAAACCAGAGGACTTCCCCAAGTCCCTAGCCGTCCTGGCCTGCCTTTCGGTCATTCTTTTCATCGTCCCACCTGCCATTGGCTTCCGTTACCTGGGTCAGTACGCCACCGCTCCGGCATTTGGCAGCTTGGGTGTCGTCGCATACAAGAAGGCTTCGTTTGCCTTTGTCATCGTGCCCACTATCATCATCGGCGTCATCTACGCCAACGTCAGCGCCAAGTTCGTCTATCAGCACCTCATGCGCGGCTCGCATCACCAGCACTCCAACACCGTCATCGGCTGGGGAGCTTGGGCTGGCGTAATGGTCGCAGTTTGGGGCGTCGCTTTCATCTTCGCTGAGGTTGTTCCCTCCATGGGTGATTTCCTGTCTCTTCTTGGCGCTGCCTTTGACAGCTTCTTCGGCTTCATCTACTTCGCCATTGCCTACTGGCAGATGAACAAGACGAACCTGTTCGGTGGCCTCAGCAGGTCGATCAAGACTGCTGTCCACGTCTTCGTCATGCTCGTCGGTCTGTTCTTGCTTGGGCCGGGTCTGTACGCTGCTTGCGAGGCCATCATCGCCGACTACAGCGGCCCTGTCAAGCCTGCTTTCAGCTGCGCCAATGTTGCCATATAAGAATAGAAGTATAGCATGGTGTGATGATGCACCCTTTCTGTATATAAGATCGTAGGTGCTTACGTTCGAAAATAAATCATTTCAATTCAACCTCCTTTTTCTTTTTCCTATCCCTCCCCGTAACCGCCCAGAATGTAGCCGCTGCTCATCCGAGAATGCCTTGATCCCTACACGACTAACTACGTGCCACGTGTTGGATAGACCCAGTAGCATCAATACTTTACTTCAAAAAGATCCAGACGAAAGATCGGCAGGCAAGTCGGGTCCTGGTTCAGACGGAGTTTAAGGCCGGAGGGGACCTACGTTGAGTGGGGTGGGACCTTGCCAGGTGCTTCACGGATAATGGAAATGTGAAGCCAAAAAAAAAGGGACACTTCTGGACTGTAAAACAGGTCGCCCAGACTGATATATCTAGGAGTCATACGGTTTTAGATTCGCAACTGGACTCTCAGGTCTCCTGTGCTCCACGCGCGAGACCCAAAGGACCAATATTCACAGGATCGTTCGTCTCGTGCTCATTAACAAGATTACGGTTCGTTATTTGTTAATCCAAATCGAGAGCCAGACGTCGATGACATGTCCGTGAAATCATGGCTCAGAAGCTTATCTCGTGCATGGCTCAAAAAGTGTGTTCAAGTTCTGAACTGGGGGGTGTCGACACATAGTCAGATGTTCAGCACATTGCCAACATCGTCCGCGCCTACAAAGTGCACGTAAGCATTATCATACCAAGGTCATGAACAGTCCTTCTCGCACTCTTCTGCAGCCGAACTAACTCAGGTTGCCGTTATCGTAGCCGTGCCTTGTTGCCTATACCCTCCGTCCCTCTCTCTGGCCTCCTCCTCTAGCTCTCTCAACACCTCGTCAAGCATCCCCTCGATCTCGCTCTCCCTCACACCAATCGCCCCTCTGATCAATCTCTTGTAACCTTCCACGCGCTCACCCATGCCTGCATTTCCCATGGCGTCCACGAGCGTGCGCACCATTCGCCGCCGCTGGTCCTGCATGGCCTTCAACTTCTCCGGAGAGGGCTCGAGGACACCATTGGACGACGACGGTGGAGGCGGTCCCATGGCGACAAGTTCGCGGAGGGATGACATGTGCTCGAGCTCTAAGTAGGCTTCAGCCTCGCGCTCTAGGGACGCAAGTTCGGCTTCGACATCGACCTCGTCGGCCTGCGAGAGCGAGCTCAGTTCCTCTTCTACAGGAGCGAGATCTTCGAGCTGTTTGCGCAAATATTCCAGTTCGCCCGTCCTCTTTCTCAGTACACGTTCAATTTCCACTTGCTCTTCCATTTTCGTCTCGTACTCCGTCTCAAAAGCTTTTGCCAGGCCTGTCAGGCGCTCCGTGATATTGGGGAGTAATCGGGTCGCAACGCTGTTGGCTGTCGCACTTCGGAATGTCGGCTCTCTTTGCATTGCTAGTGAATTCGATCCTCCGCCAAAGTTCACCATCGCGCTTCCATCTCCGTTCATCCCTCTGCCATCTGGAGCAAATGGTGAACTCGACAGTTCCCGCCCCCCTACTCCCATCGCGCCAAGACCAGCTTTTCCAAGGTGCGCTCTCCTCCGCGCATTCAATTCACGAATTAGCTCGTCTGCCGTCTCACCCGCGTTGTTTGGCCTGTCAACCGCGACATTTCGTCCAAGCAAGCTTCGCACGCACTTCCGCGCGCCGTTACGCGCAGCTATCATGACGCATGTGTCACCGTTCTGGTCCGTCATGTTTAGGAGCTTGGTGATTTCATCAGGAATCCACGTCTCAGCCAAGACGTTGACGAGGGTATCGATATAATAGCGCGCGGACTTGTACTTGTTCTTCGATGATGTAGTTGCGGCGATATGGTGGAAGACGGTTGAACCGAACCAGTCAGTACGTTGGACTGTCGGTGCAAGGATACGAGCGAGAGCCGGCATAGTCTGCTTGTCGAAGTTGTTCGTGAACATCACAGCACGCATAAGCGGTGTCTCGAGGTTGTTGTTCAAGCAATCTATGCGTGCATTCCTCCTCAGAAGGTCTTTCACGACGTCAATGTCTCCCATTGCGGCTGCCCAATGCATTGCACTGTGACCCTTCTCATCTATTGGTCTGTCTAGGTTGATGCCTGGGGGTGGTTCCGGCGCCGATGGAAAGCTATCTTCCGACTCTAGAAGCATGAAGTAGTCAAGCAGCTGGTCAGCCCAGATCTGGTGCTGTTGATCTTGGAATGACATCTGGTCCCGTTTCCTCTTCCGTGAACCTGGGTAGTGTTGTGCATAGGGGTCATCAACGTCCATCATACTCTCCGATGCTATAGTCATATTGTCCGGTGTGCCTTCGTGGTATTGGCCCACACTGGCTAGCTCATCTTGATCGTACTGGGACATCGATTGTGAATGTGAATGTGCATGCGCATGTAACGATGCATGAGCTGATCGTTCAATTAGCACTGTATGTGGCCTTCGCCCTTGTGATGACTATGCAACTTACAGTTTACAGGCATTCTCCGTGGTGGATTGATTATCCTGGGTTGCTTCGGTCTATTAGATGCCGCGGTCGCATGCTTAGGCGCTGGCGGTGGACTCCTGTCGCCCGGCACATAATCAAAGATTGGAAGCAGCTTATCAAGAACGCCATTGCGCTCGGCCAGAGCTCGGCCATCAGCAAGAGGTATCCAGGTGCCTGTCCAAAATCTTAGCCTTGTGTTCTTCCACGAAACCATGAGGTATGTCTGCGTTATTTACACTTACCCTGATATTTACCATAACCACCCTGAACCTTTTCATGCACACCTTTTTGTACCTCTCGCTCTAGAATTCTCGTCCTCGTCGGCTTGTCGTAGGCAGCGGCCTTGAGAATGTGCGTCGCATTGATCCAATCGTCTGTCCATGGCATCAGCACTTTCCACTTCCAAAATCGCTTTCCCTGCCCGGATGTATCTTGAACCAAGGAGGGTAACCACATACCAGCCCGCCTGCGCATAATATGCACGCCCGGCCCTACGTTGTATTCATATACGGGCACATTGCTATAACACGCGCCGTAGATCTTGGAGTTGGCGCTGTTAACGTTGTTCGCGGCCATGACTTCATCAATGCATTTATACGTAAGAAAGGGAAACAGTCGATTTTATACGTTGACAGCGGCCACGATAGTGAAAAGAGCGGGCACCGCAGACGACGAATGAGATCGCGAAAGGAACAGGAAGACGACGCGTGCGTGGAGGTTTCGACGCGTGATGCCGAAAGCCAGGAAACCACGCTAATCCTAAAATGGTTTTAATGGATTGCCCGCTTGTTTATGCCTAAGGCTATAATATGTCGGCCTTGCGAGCATGTTGCCCGGCACCTCGAACCTGCAAAGCATCCGCGAGCCGTGGTGACAGCATCAAGCTACCCTTTCAAGCTCCAAACTCAGCACAATGTCGCTCATCGAGAAGGCAAAGGAAGCCGTTGGTCTCGGCCACGAGTCTTCCGAACCATCAGGCCGTATGTTCGCTCCTCTTGATGATTCAATTGCGCGCTTCAGAACGGCGGTCCAGAACAGAGAGCTAACATACATGAACCTTTTAGCGGCAACTAAACAGCAGATGTCGGATGCCAGACTACCGCTTGCATACAGGGACAGCTGTGCTCACCTTCTGATACCCCTCAACCGGTGTCGCTTCGAGACATACTACCTGCCGTGGAAGTGCGAGGTATGCTTTCATTCGCCTCTCCCTCCTTCCCCTTACACCTCACCTTGAAGGCGGGAATAAGATGTGCCTGAGTCAATGGAGGCTAAGTGGACAATGACGCAGGATGAGAGACATTCGTACGAAAAATGCCAGTACGTCGAGTTCAAGAAGCGCGTGGCGAAGATGGACGAGCTCAAAGCGGCACGGTACGGCGAGAGGATTGGCAACTAGACGAGTAAATGCCCGAATGTGTCCTTTCAAGACAATTGAAAAATAGCGCTGCGTAATTGCAAAGAGACTGGAGGCTTAGGAAACATTGAACGTCGCCCTTGCTCTCTCGTTGCAGCGAATATTTTTGTACATAGAGATGAGAAGAGTTCAATGTGAAGGGACATTCCTCATCATTGGCACGTCTGCCACGCTTTTTTTCTTCAATTTTTCTTTTCATTCGACAACATTAACTAGCTAGCCATGTCGATGTGCTCGGACGTGGCACGAATTTCTAGGTACATCTCCACCCATTTATCGTTGCCAGCCTTTATGGTTCACGGGGCAACCTCTCGCACTTGCTTTCATGCGCCTGCTAGAGCAGGTACACTTCGTAGAACGATTTCAAAACCTCAACTATGGAACAAAGCTCCAGATGCCTCTCATATCGGACATCAGCCTGACCAAGTACACACGCGTGTGGAGTGGTGGATCAGTCCTTAGCACTCCCCTCGCTCGGTCATCCAAAACACAGCCAGTGACCGGGAATATTCCAAAATGGACTGATATCGCGCATTTCCCCCGGTAAGCATAAATGCCGACGTCATGAATTAAACAGACGACGGAGCATGGTGAGTCGAGTCCTTGTTGTAATCCTACGACATCCACAGGTGTCCTGGATCCGCGAGAATTTTCCATCACAGCGTGAACGATAATCATATCTTTTGCTTCTTCTTTGCTTTGGGTTTTCGACGGTAACACCGCTGGAAGATTCGTCCATCAAGAGCTCATGAAACTCACTTCAGCCCTCGCACACTTTTCCTGCTAAGGGCAATCGCACCAGCATCATTTGCCCTGTTAGGCTCAGAGATTGGGTCTGATGGCGGTAAGTTTGCTTAATAATTTTATTCAACAGAGCGTGGATGGAGGTCCAAAACTTTTTGAGCTGGCGTGCGAGTGACCAGCACTAGCATTCAGGTAATACCAGACGTAGCAGCATCAGAAGAGGCCTTGCGACAATCCCCGCTCCAGTCACTCTCTCAATTTCACTGCAACTCCCCGCAATATTTGAACATCTCACATGTGATTCTCTACCTTTTTATGATATCAACAAATGCAACGATACGGGTAGTAATGACCTGCACGTGACTATTCAAGACAAAAGAAAAAAAGAAAAAAACCAGAAGAAGACTAGAAGTGAGGACATCAGGAAGGACAAATTAGCATTATTTTAATTTGCACACACTTGTGCCGCTGAAGAGGTATCTATCTGCCCCGCCGAAAAAAAAGGCGGGGCGGGTTCTAATGGGAGAGGGCTTGGGAATTCAATACATGCTCATCAAAGCCCAAAAGCCCAAGCAAACAAACGTGAAAACATGGGGGTCGTATCCTCTTCAAAGAAAAAACAAATTTTCCCTTTACGCAAACAGACACATGAACAACGCGAGTCCCAGTAGGGGAGAAACCATGTTGAGTACCACACCCCTTGCAGCCGTGCTTTTCTTCGATGTCGTAGATGATGGCGCCCCACTTGTCCCCGTGCCCTCGCTGCCCGTCGACGGATCGGGTGAATCGGTCGTGACGGTCGGGTCGATCTTGGCCTGCTCGATGGCGTCCGGAAGGCCGTACACGTAGAACGAGCCTGTCTTGAACGAATTCTGATAGTGATAGCCTGATCCGAACATCATGAAACCCCCGGCGACGAGCACGCCACCGCGCTGGATCGAGTCGACGGGCCAGGTCTGGAGCGTGTTGCCGTTGGACTTTGCCAGCGCAACGACGGCACCCGTGGTCTGGCCGGTTGTGTCCGAATTAACGACAGCGCGGGAACCGGATCGACCCACGAGAATGATGTCGTTGACGACAGCCGGTGGGGTGTAGGCGAGCTGCAAGTCCGGGACAGGAACCTCCCACTCGAGAGCGCCGGTCTTGAGGTTGGCGGCGCCCCATGCACTGTTATTGATCTGGGGCCCGTTTCCGGGCTGCAGGGTCCAATTGACAGCACCGAAGTTTATGGCGGTGAAATATATGCTCTTGTCGTCGGTGGCCATGCCCCAAGACATGGCGCCAGGTCCACCCGTAGTACCGGAGTCGGGAGACGTGATTATGCTCCATTGAACGTCACCCGTCACTGCATTAAACGAATACAGGTTACCGCTCTTCTGGCCAATAACGACAGTATCGTTGCCAGTCGTGCCATCGCCAAGTGCTGCAGGAACAAAGGTAGGGGCCATGCCGAAATCCGCATCTGGACCCGGTCGATCGGGGCAAAGAGGTGATGCGCTCGTCGGTGCACCGGCGTAACCGCAGACCATGACCCAGCCGTCGAGAGGAGATATTCTCTGGCGCCAATTGACTTTGCCGGTATTCATGTCGACGGCAAAGACGGACTCTTGCGAAACGTCGTCTGGCATGCAGGCCGAGGTCTCGTTGACGCAGTGCAAGTACGAATCTGGATATACGTACGTGTTGCCCGTGCCGAAGAAGACCTGGCCGCGCACAGGGTCGATGGCCGGCTGAGAGCCCCATACGCCTGCGCCTGACCAGCCGCTGTTGGCCGGCAGAGTGTCGATGTGCCAGCGCTCAGTAAAGTTCCTCGTCTTGAGGTCAAAGTTGTACGAGGCGAATTTGCCGATGAAACTGCAGCAGGGGTAGCTTGTGTTGACAGTGGCGGACGACTCCTGGGACGAGGCGCCTATGTAGATATTGCCCTCATATAGGGTTGGGCTCATGGTCAGAATAGCGAGAGGATGGTCATGGACGCGGATCGTGCCAAGAACCTCGCCGGTGGTCAGGTTTGCGGCGACGAGAAGTGCGTGAGCCTGGGTGCCAAAGTAAATGATGCCATTCTCCAGGTCAAGCTGGGGGCTGGTTCGAGACATGGGCAATGAGTTCTCCAGCACAAAGCCCGTGAGTGGCTCCTCGTCGTAGCAGATCTTGGTGACGTTGATCTGCCATCGGAACTTGCAGGTACCGTAGGCCAGCGCGTAGAAGGAGCCATTGCTGGTCGGGTAGTAGACGGTATTGTTGTGGACCACGGGTGTCGCACTGACGCCGAGCGGATAGTCGAATTTACAATTCTGCTTCAGATCGGCGATGGTTGTCGAGTTGATCTCGGTGCTGGTCGACCAGCGATTGTTGTAGATATTGGAGCCCCAGCCAGTCCAGTCGGAGAACTGGTCCGGCGCTGATTTGGGCGCGCCTGTGTCTGCAGCGGAAACGGTGCTGAAAAACAGTAGCGAGCCCGCTAGGAGCTCGACGAGCGAGGAGAACATGACGGGCAACAAAGCCCGCAGCCGAGAAATATTAGAATTGGCGAATCAGTCGAGCCTTGTTTTTTTTTTCTTTGTCTGCGCTTATGTTCTCATGCTTCAGAGTAGTTAAAAGGCCAAGGGCATATGATAAAACGAGTGTATAGCGGCAGAAGCAGCGAAAAATGTTAGACAAAAAAACAAGCATATAGTGTATATACGACGGCGACAGGTCGAAAAACGGAGGTGACTCGATTTGAATGAAGAAAGAGGCCGTAAAAGAAGAAAATTAGACGGGTCGTGTGCCAGCGATAACAAGGAGATTGACTTGGACGCCATGGCTTGCAAGTAAAGCAGCGCAACGACGGCTCTGTGGATGGGATCACTGTCCGTGTCGTCGCTAGCGTGTTGACTGCAGGTCTTCTGGCGGGTTCAGGACAGCGCTGAAGGAGATTGACGTGCAGACGAGCTAGGCGGCTTCGAGGCAATGTGGCGGGTTGTATTCGCTGGGGGCTTCTGATAAGATGAATGCAGGAACCCGATTAGCGGACGGGCGCGTGGGCCTGCGAGTCTGCTCATGCGGCTACCTTGGCCAACACCTGGCAGACGCTCGCTGTGACTGGATCGTCGAGGACGAAGTGACCGTGGGCCGTCGTTTCATGGGCACAGGCACGGAGGACTCGATGCAAGATCCAAGGTTTTCCTCAGCAAGTGGAAGATCAAATGACGCTGCCGAACCCAGACTTCCGTGCAGGGCGATCGTGGCGAGGTGGATGTGCGAGTCGGGTCGATCGCATGAAACTCACGGACGGACTTTGTCTGCACAAGTGCCAGGCCGAACCTGACGGCAACGATCAACGACCGCATCATGAGCGTCGAGTCTTGTTGGCCTGCCACGATCGGCTTGGTGGCGTCGCCGGACAAGCGAAGGAGTGGCTCACGGCATGTACCACAGCGCCCGCTGCGAGTCGCGTGCCGGTCTCTCTCTTCAAATTTTTCTCGCCTCGAAGAATGTTCTGACCAATGACTAGCGAACGAACCGGCGACCATCGCGGCCGGAGATCACGAAGTTGTGGATCTTCAGGACGAAGTGCTGTCCTCATCTGTGACAGAGCGATCCACTTATTATGCGCTGCTCCGTCCTGCTCCTGCATCAGTCAGAAAAACATCAAAGGGCGGCGACGAAAAGAACCGGCCCATAACTCGTTACCGCATCGCTGTGCGATCTCGATAGAGGTCTGACGCTCCACTCCTTATGTGGGCCAGCTGGCACCCAATCATTGCTTGTGGACCGCAGCCACACGTATTGTCGTGTACAGTGTCGTTTTTGGCCTTGCACCAGAGCAAGAAGGACCAGGAACTCCCTACGGAACCCGCAGCACTGGCATACGATGACCCAAGAGTTGGGTCACTATCATCAATGAAGTCATGCACAGTGTGTCAAGGACGTACAATGCTTGCGGTTTTCCGTGTACGGATGGCAAAGGTCAGCCCGCAGGACAAAGCAGATGGTTTGCCGCTGGTGCCCTCGAGCGCGCTGCTATCTTCGTTTCACTCTGCATGCGTTCTTATTGCACTGTTCTGCTCTCGCCCAGGTGCATAAGAATGCGTCGTTGCCCAGACATGACATGGCATACAGCCGCTTGCAAGACCCGTATTGGGTGCAGTATTCACTAATGCAATTGTTCTCTCGTTCCGTGAATTGTGCTCGACAGCAGGTTTTGATGATAGAGATCGCGATGATGCTACGCCTCTCATCTCTACCACAAAGACCTCTGGGCGAAAGAGCTGCTCAATCGCTCCACTTTGAGGCTTTTGACCTCCTTCGCGCTCACAACTGCTGTGCTTGAGGCCAGACGCTTCATGGATTCACAGGGTTGATCAATTCTACCAATCGCTCGTCCCGTGCGACAACTCGACCTGAATGGGAGGAGTTGATGCTCATGCTTTGCGTCTTTGAACAGGAGACTTGACGTTCTCAAGATGGTTATTGGGGCTGCTTTTCAACGTAACACAGTAATTTGCAAAATGCAGTGTTCTCGTATGACGATTTCTTCTTCCCGAAGTTTAGGTCGCTGAGTATTGTGGGTCGTCGGTCTCGAATAGAGTGGGAATATGGTGTCTTGAGATGAGAAATTAAGGAGGATGGCAGAGCAGAAATAGTTCTTGGTCTTGCCAACATATGAATCAATAGCGGAATGAAGAGCAGGGTGTGCCCTTGCATCAACTTCACAGAATGATCAAATGCTCAACTTAGTCATACAACAGGAAAGCAAAGGGTAATATTTCGACAATAGCGGAATTTTGCAGTACTGCTAAGTGTTACTCTCAACCTATTCAAGGAGTTTGTTGCAAAGGCAGCCATTATCAGGCTATCGTATGGTGTGTGCGATACTTTACCACAACAATGCAGATTTTGTGAAGACGAGGAACGGTCTCGAACAGAAAAAGTCAATCTGGAAGCGGAGCGCGTCGCACGAGACTAGCGTCTGCAGCATCTCGAAATATGCGCGGCATCGTACTCTCGTCTGACAAGTAGCGAAATCCCACAATTTATGAACGAGAACCTGGCGAGGGCATAAAGATCCCGTCTTGATTCGATGAGGATGCAATTCTGTCATCCTCGCCGTTCGAGCTTTGCTAAAAAAAAAGAAAGAAAAGAGAATAAAAAAAATTGGAAGTTGCCTTGCAAAATAAACCCAATTCATAAAATTCAGTGTTCAATATCTATATTGAAAGGGGACGTGAGCCAGCGTTCTTTAAGCCTTCTCCTCGGCAACAACGCGTCTCTCGGGAGAGTGATCTTCAGACATCTTCGCATCCTTTTCCCCGACCGATGGATGAGCCTCCATATCGGACAAATCACCACGCTCCGCCTTTGCGATACGTCTGTAGGTATTTCTGGTCTTCCAGGCGGGGGTTCCGATGTATTTGATACCGTGCGGATCTTCGAAAATGGCAGTTGTCTCCTCGAGAGACTTGCCTGCTGTCTCCGGGAACATAAAGAAGACTGCGATTGATCGTTAGCAAGCGTGACGAAGCCTCATGAGCAGATAGAAAAAGATTGACATAGACATACCGTGAATGAACATGGCAACACAGAAAACGCCAAAGATGATGTATGTGCGCCACTGAATGTTGACGAATGCGGGCGGGACGAAGTAACCGAGAGCGAAGTTAAACGCCCAGTTGGCCGAAGTGGACAGCGCAACAGCCTTGCCACGGACACGCAGAGGATAAAGTTCGGGTGGGTAGATCCAAGAGACGGGGCCCCAAGTCGGAGCAAAGGAGGCAACGAAGAGATATGAGCAAGCGATGATGGCTTTAGCCGGTGCACCGTGGACGAGAGTTGACGCCTCTTTAACCCCGTCGACGCCGTCAGGCTCATATGTGCCATAGGTTGCAAGGATGCCGGCGTCCGCGAAAAGCCAGATGGCCATGAAAAGAGCACCGATGAGCAGCGTCGGGCGACGACCCCAGCGATCCACATACAGCAGGGCAGGTACGGTCATGACGACGTTGATGACGTACTGGATCGACGAAGAGACGAGCAAGTTGTTGCCTTTGAGACCGGCCATAGCGAAGACGTACGTGATGTAGTACATCATGACGTTCATTCCCGTCAGTTGAGACCATATCTGAGTGAAGACACCAATGTGCGTTCTGTTGATGTTCTTCGGGTAGAATAGCTCCCAGTAGGTGACATCTGCATTCTGGCGCTCAAACTCGCAATATGCCTTGATCTCCTCGTACTCGCGCGCAACGAAGGGTGAGTTGGGATCGCCCTTTCCATGGACAAGGACTAAGACAGACATGCAATCCTCCCAGCGATCTTTGCGGGCAAGCCATCGAGGGGATTCAGGCAGGAAGAGCAAGCCAACGAAGAGTAGCATGGCGGGTATCATCTGCAGGCCCCAAGGAAGTCTGAAAGCGGCAGTTCCGTTGATGAAGGAACACCCGTACGAGATGTAGAACATGATCATGATACCCCACGTAATGGCCCACTGCTGGGCGCCGACGAGACGACCGCGCTTGCTGGGTGGTGCCATCTCGGAGATGTAGACAGGAACCTGAGCGGAGCAGATACCGACGGAAAAGCCGTTGATGATGCGGCCGACGATGAGCATGGCGATGTTTTGCGATGCGGACACGATGACGCTGCCGATGATCCAGATGATGGAGCCGATCATAATGGCCTTCTTGCGGCCGAAGATATCAGTGATGAAGCCAGAACATAGCGCAGCGAGCCAGGAGCCACCGGCCATGGAGGCAGTGATGCCACCCTGCACGTCCGCTCTGGGGCCGGAGCACGGTGTGTCACCCTGATTGAAATAGCATTTGTAGGCGCTGGTGCCGAGAATGGCACTCATGGACGATATGTCGAAGCCAAAGAGGCCGCCACCGATAACTGCGATGGCGGCGATGAAGTAGTACTGCGAAGCCAGGTCAGCGGGATCATTTGCCTACAGCGCATGTGCATTGTTGATTCATACATTCCCAATGGTATACATCGTGACAGCCCCTACTGAACGATCACGTATGCTAGAGGTGTGCGAGATTTCGTTCTCTGTCTGGCCCTATTCTCGCGGAGGAGAATGAAGAGGAGGAGCTTCGTGCAGATCCTATCCTTCACGCGACGGGCATGATGCCTTTAAAGCCCAGGACCAAAGAATCCTGGAGCACACCAGACGGACAACGCAGGTTCGAGCAACTCCAACACGCACGTACCAACCTGCCATACGACCCCATGATGCCGTTCGGTGTGGAGAAGAAGCGTCTAGCGCGGCGAGTGAAAGCATGCTTCACCCAGCCGAAATCCTGGGGCTCCTCGCCTGGCGAACGTCGTCTTGTGCCGGGCACTTCTCCCATTGAAGCAGTGATGGTCCACACAACGGACGAGATTGGCGAATGAGGACTCGAATGCCGAGAGGAGCGCGGACGAGCTGAACGAAGAAAGATCATCGTGGACTGATGGTCGGGTTACCCTGTGGCCAGCGCCGCTGAGATCATCGCAGTTACATCCTATTTCCACTCGATTCCAAACTGGCCATCTCCGATCTTATGGGTCGCCGCGGCCGCCTGGCGTTTTCTTGCGCGACCAACGCATTACGAGAGAGGATCCGCTACGGCGACGAGCGCTTCGAAACAGACAGGCCACAGCCCGCAACGCACGCGCAGTGATCACGATGAAGCTGTAGCCACAGTGCTTGTTGGCAGCGAGGAGGTTCGCTCTCAGCCGTTCAGCGTCGCGCCCGCGCGCATCGCGACACAAACCGGGCCACAAACGACGACGTCAACGTCGACACGCCAAGCTCGGGAGGCGTTTCGCTTGCAGCTGCACGAGGACGTCACACTTTTCCCGTCAAACCACCACGACCGTCCAGTCCAAGCTCGCAAAAGATGCCGCCTGTTCCTGACCTTTGCCTCGAGTTGCGGTCTGGCATTTCGTCCAACCCTCTCGGCGCCTGGCTTACGTCTGTGCCCAGCTTCTCGCCACCACCAGAAGCTCTGCCAGTCCGTCATGGACGTCGCACACGCGTCACCGTGCCTTTAGCAATTGTCGATGACCAATAGCTCCCCTCAGACGACATGTGCGGAGACGAAACTTAATTTTGGGGGGCCTCAGTCCTCTGCTTTGCCTGCCTGGAGACAGTTCCGAACGATCGACATTGTCTTCCCCTCGGGGTCATCGATCAGCGATGACCACGCGGTCCCATGTAACGTTGCAAGAGGTCCACTTCTTTTTGGGCCTAATCGCTGTTTTACTGCTACCGTGACTTTTTTTTCTAGTGAGGCGTCTTCTCTGTTGCTCGTTAAACAAAATCTTGGGTTGATGATATGCCGAGCTCCCAGCGCTGTCGAATAGATCACGCTCGTATTGCCGTATATCCGACACATTCGCTCCCACGGCTCTCGATTTGTGATGTTTGCTGTATATCACATTAGCGCTTGGCCACCTCGCATTTGATTACATTGAAAGAGCATGTACTGTACTAGCGTAGTTCGGCCGCGAGGTATCTGAATCCCTTCTGTTTCCTTGAAAGGCATGATTGGGGACTCCTCAATGTTCTCTCGCGAACTTGAAGAGGCAAAAAGGGAAGCGGAAGATTGAATGCTATCTTAACGGAGATAACTACACAGACGAGCAATCATATCACAGTCACAATCTATGCTAGTCACCTATACGCGCGGGTAACGCAAAGCAGTGCATGACCTGAAGATACTCTGTCTCTAGCCTGGGACAGGACAGTCTCCTTTGTCTACAGATGATACGCGTCAATGTCCCCAGGTGTGGGATATATCCGTTTCTCCGCCTCAGAGCCTTACCAATCCTTTGAATCCTCGTCCCCACTCTGAGACAGCATCCAAGCTCTCCTCCAACCAGCCAGAATGTGCCCACGGATGCCTGCTGGCGCTATGCTGGTACAGAACAGTACTGTACAATCCAAGAACCGTCGCAACCACGCCGCCTTGACACGACCCTGGCCAATCCCTGCGCTCAAAGTTGAGATCAACAGATGAATATGGTAGCAAGTTAGTCTCGCTCACTTCAGCATGTCCTCGTGAGCTAGTGATAGGATTGCAGCCGAGTCTAGTCTCTCGGACTGCTCGAGCCAGGTATCTTACCAGCTTCCCATCCAGGGCAGGAATAGGGACTCTGCGAAGCTCTTGGTATAGTTCATCAAAATGCACGGTCATCGCTTGCACGGGAACAGGTGCGAACATGCGACGATGGCTTACGTGGTAGTCTCCTCCGCGGGACTCGTCAATCGTCCCTGGGAGCTTCGAGTCCGTGTTCCTGTTGAATACAAGTGAATGTGGCGGCGACTGGACTCGCAAACGGCGCGGCGCCGCAGCATCTTGTCATACCCCGGAGTGCTGCAAAAATACCTACATCTCCTCGCGGTCGAGAGAGTTCGTCGACCTGGCCTTGTCTCGCCGAAATGACGTGCTACCACACAGAAAATTTTCAAGTCGATGTTGTGTCACTGCCCTTACACAAATCAGAATCCCATTCGGCATTTGAGCTCGACCAGCTAGTGCATCTTGCTAGTCCAACTGTGTTTCATCTCGACATTCTGAACTGATCTAGTCACCTGGCCATTTGGCATTCGAGCTACACATACTTCATAGCGACATTCCGGTAGGACATGGCCGTGGTAGTACATACGTCGGCATGCGAGTACATCTACCGACTGTTTGCTACTTGATTTGTGTTCTTGTTGCGCACGATAGACCATTCCATTCTTTCTCATCACCGTCATCAATACTTTGATATATTACAGGTATGACTTACCAGGTTTCACGTATCTGGATGTTTCTAGACATTCAAACACTGATATCATGGCCACTAATTGTCCTGGAAGCCACCATAGCAGTATCTAAGAGAGCATTTAATTTACTGCTAAAAGACGCTAACGTGCTAAGTAAACATAGCACCTCGTATTTTTGCTGGCGAGTTGATCTAAGTCCATGCTATCCAGAGCAAGTGTAAAATTTATGATCTTGTCAACATCAGTTATTTCTATCGATAGATGAACCTCGTTATTGGCGCCACCTACGCCCAGTGTTCAACAGCGTATGAAGAGATATTTCCTTGCATAGCGGGCAAAGCGCAAATGGAGGCCATTTTTTGAGGCACCAGAGGCCAAAGCAATCATTACTATCACGTGTTGTGACGATGACGTCCGCATGGCCGCTGAGCAGAGATTTAACAACGTCAATAGGTTTGCCATGGTTCCAAAGTCTCTTTTCACTCATCTTTTGGTTGAGGTTTCCGCGATGCTCGATCAACACCCTAGAATTCCCAGGTATTCGTAACATGACGAGATAACAAATTCATCTGCCCTGAATTACATACACCAATCCTATTTTGTAGTAAAATGCACAGTTTTATCGCTTCTCCTCAATTAGGACTCCAATATAAAACTGATTCGCGAATCTGGTGTGACTCATTTGTTGTCGACTGACGTCGCAGACCTGATCCTGATCAACGAAGGTTCGGAATGCGAACGACGCTATGAGGGAGAGCGATGCCTTGCTGTTGTTTGTTGTAGCCAAAGCCTGCTCATTCCCCTGACAAGTTCGGAAGAATAGATCTTACGACATCCGTATAGAAGATGCATCCCAGCATTATCATCACAGATCCAAGATCTCGATTGGCTTGCGCGCCCCTGGTCGCATTTGGCAAACTGATCGACTCGGACTCCGTGTGCGGCGTCTCAAGTGTTCAACTTCGGGCACTTGGACTTGTGTTCGGGATCTGGGGATACGTTCTTGAATTTAACTTCTGTATGCAGAGTCTTCGATGCAAGCCGGGTATCTAGGCCTGAACACTTGCAGTTTGCCTGGCGTGCTTAAGCAACGTCCCAACTGAGTATATACAAGCCAATGCTACTGTGCCGAGAATAACTTGTACCTTATCGCAAGTAGATTTCCAGGATTCGATGCGGGCGAAATGTCTGCACAACAGAAACGAGGGAAGAGCCTCCGTCTGGAATGAACCACGAGTATCTGAGCAGCCTTTGTTGAAGCTTTCATGATTTGTCAGAGTTGGCTGAAAAAAATTTGCCGATCGTGATACTTGTCCGCCGTGGTTCAATTATCAGAATAGCTGATCTTTGCGCGTTTTCAGTCAGCTTAACCAAGTCCATGAATAATTGCGCAATTGGTACAGTCATGGCGCATGCAGATTGTCGACTAGCTACCAAAGATATCCACAAAGCACTCCATTCGGCCGTTCAGAAATCTGCCTGATTATACATGTCTGGGTTGTTCCTAGCCATCTAAGATCTTGACCGAGGCGCTGCGTTACGTGTGTGCGACTTTGTACCAGTCAGGAGCTGGCGTGCGCATTAATAGCGCAGGAGATAACATATATACTCCTTCTACATCTCAAGTTTATCGATGCCCATTCCATTGTGTTCTTCTCTCGCTGGTGCCTCTCAGCAACATTGCGTACCCTTCCTCGTTTATTTCAAATATGTGGCACACGAAGTCCCCTCTCCTTCTATTAGCCATAAGCCAAGCTTCTCACAAGCTCGTTGCCGGAGATAAACCCAAAGGTCGTATACTTCCAGTTTTGTCCACCCTTGGACAAGCAAGAACTAGACATTGGCATCGTTGCCCACTCAACCCCTAGGTCCTTTCAAAAGCCTGCCCATTATTGTTCCTCCAGATAGTATGGAACTAGAACCTATCTTCTCCGCCGTCTGCTCTGAACTTTGCGGCCTTGGTGATCTTTAGCGCAGTTGCGAACTTTTGTCTCTCAGAGTTCACAATTAATTACCAATCGCGACATGGTATGCAATGATCGGGGTTTACGGGACCGAGTATAAGGCCATAATGTGCGTAAATAGTGTTGTTATATTCTACTTCACGAGTATGACTACAGAGACAGACTCTGCTACTGCTACAGAAACAAAGAAGACTACGTAGGCGGATATCAGCATTATAATAAACGTCTTCACGAGTACAGAGGCAAATACCAGCACTGCAACGACTGAAACAACCACGACATCTGTACTAACGGCAAAGAAGCGCGATCTCCACGTAATTGTCAAATGCATCGGCTTTGGCAGCGGCAGGCTCTTTGTCGACGTTCTGAATGTGATGCTGCTCAGCTATCTGCAATCGAGAGCTTGGGTTCATCTGTGCCGCCCTCTGTTTGCAACTACATTGTCAACGCATCGACTACTACAACATTAACAGCTGCCAAAGATGCTGTCGCGACAACCACGACGTCAACGATAACGGCGACAACCACAGCGAAGACAATAGAAAGGACAACAACAGAGAAGGTTATGACTGCGGGCGCACCATGTGCCACAGTTTCCGGTGATTACGTGCCAGGTGGAGAGCACGACATAGTGCTTAATCATGACAATCCATTACTTCAAGGCCCGCTCGACAGCATGTCTCAGCTTGATTAACGGGTAATATTCATGGTTTTGGCCGTGGCTCTGAGATCATACACAGCACCAAGTCCAGCGCACAAGGATCAGACTGGTGTGGTGGGGTCGAATGGCGTTGCCTAAGCGGGGCCCACAGTGCGGGATGTTCACGATGCTTGGCATTCTTGGCTTTCAGGTCCCATCACCCCAACGCTGTCGACTCACCTACATCGCCACCTCCACTTCGACATGCCCCAGCAATACCCCGATATAACGCCCAGAAAGCCTCGAGCTGTACCTAGCTTCCAAGATCAATCTTAGTTGAACACAGGCGCTCCGGCAACAAGGCGCATGCTATGTGTTCCGAGTCTCCGCCGCCCTAGCTCCCCGCAGACTTGTCCAGACGACGAACGATGACGAGGTCCGCCAGCTTGCCCGGCGATGTAAAGGCTCTCTTGAGGCAAGGCTACGACCGGAGTGTCGAACTGAACAGCAACATCTTCGCTCAGGAGATTCGAAATCCTGCGAAGCCACGTGATGCTTTGTCTGACTGGGCTGATGGTTTGCGTTCGGGCGGGCTGAAGTCTATGACTCCTTTTGAGTTGAGCGTCCGGTTGCTAGGAGTTTTAGAAGAGCTCAAAGCCGAAGAAGGTACGTATTCGAGGGACTGCAAGTTCCGTCGCTTAAGTAGAGCGGGGCACAGAAACTTACAACCCGTTAAGAGTCAGACGAAGACCCCGAAGGACATGTCACAGCACTGTTGACCTGCGAGTTTCACATCTACAAGCTCAACTGCGGCACTCCGCTGCGCTTCAACCCCTTCCTGTACCATTGGGTTCTTACTTCCGCGCGGATACAGCACACCCTCCCCGAAGAGTTGGTTCCCTGGCACTGGAAAGCAAGGCTTGAAATCATCCGACTAGCGTTGACATCTCCGGGCGTAGAAGATGGCCTTGCCGAGCGGGGTTCCAAGAATATGGAGAAGCGGTCGCCGCAGTCGATTGCGGAGAAGGTGCAGAAGGAGAGGCTGCAAACAATTGACTTGAAACCCTTTGCGCGTTTGTTGGAAATGCAAGGCCTGCCCATTACGGAAGAGCTGGCATCCTATCTTGCCATGGAAGACTATGTCCTCATGTCCGACCAGAGAACGAATAGACCAGCACATGACGACGTATTGCACGACCTGGCACAATACACTAATGGCCCTCCTGTTGCACCTCATGAAACCGCCTTTGCCAGCAGCGAAAATTCCAATGGCTCTGTTTTATCTCCAACACATGGTCCTGACACCTTCTTGAACGATTCCCCCTCTCTCGCAAACGTACCCAATGATAAGGGCAAATCCCCGGCGCCTCAGGTCTTCCCTCTAACTTCTCACTCTACTCTTTCGGATATACAAAAAGCATTCAATTACGATCCTCAAGAAGCAATGCACACGCTTACTCGCCTCCCAATTGACCTAGCATCCCTCGATCTTCTTACTCGACTGCTTGAGTCGGCGACATTGAATGCTGAGACTGCGTCCACACTCACTCGTGAGTACGTCCAGCATTCGCTTCGCATCATCGAGCGACTTGGTACCACCTTCTCGCCAGACTCGGACAGCGGTGCTGCGTTTGACCCCATGATCGAAGGTTTGCCTACAGGCAAAGACGAACAGGCACGAGCCGTCAAGCTTCTTGTCCTCTTCATGAAGAATCTGCTCAGAAAGGGTCTACTTCCGGTGCAGGAACTGCTTTTTGATCTGAGAGAGATCAGCACGAGGTACATCTGGATCCCAGAGGTCCGCGAATTTACCAATTTCCTAGAGGGTGGTGATGGGGTGGTCGCGAGTGGTGGCACAACGGTTGATGGTACAAGTGGTAGTGTCAACACCGGACACAGTATTGGCGGATGATGATGACGAGCTAGCTTCAAAAAGTGCAACTCAAATTATCAGAGTGATACCCCTTGAGATTTTTTTTTAGCGGAAGCGCTGGCGTTTGAGGGTAGGGAATGCGTAAACCGTATTTCTGGCGTTTTGCTTTGCAATAACCCGTCACAAATTTCTATCCAGCTCGATGTCTGGCTCTCAGGAAGTGGAAGTGGACTAGTACTATTGAATAAAACTCGTCATATAAGTTCGAGGTACCTATGTTGCTGGATTATGGCGACGTTATAGTTGGTAGTTCTAATATCAAGATGCAATTGGCTTCTGTGGGTGGGTCATTCCTAGACATATATTTCACTGGCCTTCAAGCTACAAGGTTTTGATAACCATGCTTATGCTTGCTAAGGACAAGTACTATGCAATGGGAGAGAAAGCATCTAGGGAAAACCGTCACGGCGGGTACTCCAACACATGATCAAACAGTGAATGGTCCTTGATGCCCGTGCAAGCGCGGGCGATTCTCCCGAAATGATACACAACATCGGTGATAAAATGATTTACATGGACTTGGATGGGTCACCCAATCCTCAGCCTATCAGGCACAAGAAATGGGATATAGATCATCTGCAAGTCCAAGCTGTCTCGTATTCGAGGCCTGTCCAATTCTTCCCGATCATGCCTCTCCCCTTCCCCTTCCGTACATTGGCACAATCTTAAAGCGATACGCCCGCCCGTGAGTGGTGGCTGACCGCCTCTGTACCAGAAGCAGTGATCTACTGCTCCATCTTGGGCTTCGCTTTCCGATATACAGCCTGATCACTTTCGAGCTTGACGACAGAGCCCTCAGATATCTCCCTCCCTTAAAGGGCTCGGTACAGCCAAGGTTGGACTCTGTGGAGCACGTGCTTCCGCATCGTGGGAAAAAAAAAAGTTACTTTGCAAAGACCGGGGACGCGAATGCCGGGTTCAAGGGGAATGAGAAACTGCAGGGCTTCTTGTGCGGGATTTACCGTGACGGCAGTCCTCCGTTACGCTTCGGAATTTTGCGCGAGAGAAAGGGGAACAGAAAAAGGAAAGAAATTGAAATTAGAAAAACTTGTCGTGATACCTGTAGACCTCGTTCGTTTAATTGATGGCGTATACTACTATGTACAAAAGGTGAAGCATTCAGACGCCGTCGCAATCCCAGGATGTCGGCAGTATTCATCAATCATGATGCATTTCATGCATTTCATGAGTACTCCCTCTTAGCGGCAACGGGAGGTTGTCCCTCCCGCCCCTTTTGTTTTGCTAAGAGCTCAAGCTTAATCTATACAAATCCGGAGCAATTGTAGACTGCCTTCTCCCATCGCTCATACAAGCGCTTGCTCTCTTCCTTTGGCATCTTTGGCTCGAAGACGGTGCCGCTATTGCTACAGTCAGTACAAGTTGGAAGGCAGCGGGAGTGGTGGTGAGGAACGTACCCTTTCGTGTTGATCTGCTTGAGCTCCTCAAAGTCATTCCAAGTGCCAACGGCAAGACCCGCCGCGAAGGCGGCGCCCAAAGCTGTGGTCTCGCGCATCTTCGGCCTGTCGACGGGGATCGAGATGAGGTCGCACTGGGTCTGCATGCAAAGCTCGCTGTTTGACATGCCTCCGTCGACGGCCAGTCTTGACAGCGCCTTCCCGGAGTCTTTCTCCATCGCGTCGAGAATGGCCTTGGTCTGGTAGCACGTAGCCTCGAGAGCGGCACGAGCCAGATGACCCTTTTGAGTGTACTGCGTGATGCCCAGAATGGTGCCGCGGATGTCGTCGATCCAGTAGGGCGCAAACAAACCGCTGAACGCCGTGACGAAGACCAAGCCGCCGTTGTTCTCAACCGTCATGGCAAGGTCGTTGATCTTCTCCGAAGAGTCAACAAAGTTGAAGTTGTTGACCAAGAACTTGATGGCAGAGCCGGCGACGGCGATCGAGCCCTCCAGAGCGTAGACCGGCTTCCCCTTGAAGTAGTAAGCCACGGTGGCGAGCAGGCCGTGCGTTGAGATGACCGGCTTGTCGCCGACGTTGTAAAGCAGGAAGCAGCCCGTTCCGTACGTGTTCTTGGCCGCACCGGGCTCAAAGCCCTTCTGACCGACCAAAGCGGCGGATTGGTCACCGAGACATCCGGTGATCTTGACGCCGGCGAGAGCGCCGCTCGCCAGCTCTCCGTAAGCCGTCTCGTCTGAAGACTGGACGATCTTGGGCAAAGCGATCTTGCTGCGGTCGATCTGGAAGAAGTCGATGAGACTGTCGTCGTAGTCCAGCGTCTCGAGGTTCATGAACATGGTCCGCGAGGCGTTGGTCGGGTCTGATACGTGCACGTTCTTGGCCGGGCCACCGTTCAGCCTGTATGCAAGCCAGGAATCGACCGTGCCAAAGGCCAGCGTGCCGTTCTGATAGGCAGCACGAACCTTGGGCACGTGTTCAAGCATCCACAGCAGCTTCGAGCAGCTGGGATAGGTCGAAAGCGGGATGCCACACAGCGCCTGGAGCTTGTCTGCACCGGTGCGAGCCTTGAGCTCGCGAACGAGGCTCGCGGAGCGGGTATCAGTCCAGACGATGGCATTGTACAGTGGCTCTCCCGTGAGCTTGTCCCAAACCACGGTAGTCTCACGCTGATTCGTGATGCCCACGGCCTTGATCTGCTTGCGCAAGTAGCCCTTTGCCTCGAAGTTCTCGACGGCCCGGTCGATGCAGGCGTTGACAGAGGACACCAGCTCCAATGGATCGTGCTCGTGCCATCTGGTATCGTCAGCCAAACAGTTCAGGTATCGGCCAGATGCCCGTCACGTGATACTCACCCTGAGTTCGGATAGATCTGCTTGAACTCCATCTGGTGCATGGCCACGGGCTCGCCCTCCTTGCTGAAGATCAGAAAGCGCGAGCTGGTGGTGCCCTGGTCGATGGCACCAATGAAGTCGGCGGTGGTGTCTGGCACTTCGGTCGAGTGCCAGTCTCCGTTTGAAAGGACCTCGAAGCCTCCCGTGCTGGGGGGGCCGCGCTTCTCGAGCTCATTGAGACGCTGTTCCAGCTTCTGCTGGTTCTGCTGTATCGACACAAGGAGGTCAAGGATCTGCTTGTTGCTCGGCTCAGTTTCCACGCCAGACATGATGGGCTTGGGTCTTAGGCTTAGGAGCGACGATGTGTATACGAAGACGCTGCTGCAAGAAGACAGAAGGGACGAGGAGGAGGGGTATCTATGAACACCAGAGATGGATGCAAAGGCAGCACAGAAAGATCTGTTGCAACAGAGAGACGAAGTGTGCTCTAAATACACAGTGGAACAGAGGCCTGGTGAAGAAAGGCTCAAGCATATTGGGGATCTAGCCCACAATTTATCCACCCATCAAAAAGGCTCCCAGCAGCCATCGCGCCCATGCTTTCCAGGCACGGAGAATTGGAGTGCATTGGCGGGGAAGCGTGCACAAGGTTGGAGACATGTGACGGGAAAGGGGGAAAGGGGCTTTGCGCGTGCCCATGGTCGTCAATTCTTGAGCTGCGGGAAGCTGGAGTAGTAGCAGACAACCTTCGTCAAAGGAGCACAGTCTTCTCGGGGCTCCGCGCATGGCCTCATTGCCGCTGTGGAGTTCTTGTGGACGCGGTGATCTCTCCGCCCGCTGGCTTTGGCGTTTTCGCACCCGCTGGTTACGGTAAGTCAAGCGGCGCGCACTACGAATCACGACTAATCGACTGCTGCTGTAGTACAGTGCTCGCACTGTTCGTGCTGCCAGGAGAGTCATGCTATCGCGGCACTCTCGCCGAAACCACAAGGCAGGCCAGCACCGTCGTGCAATTACTCGTGCTGCTCGTCCGCGCAATTCTCCCCGCGCGCTGTTTTCCCCGCGGGGATCGCTGCGTTGCTCGGGGTTCTATGTACGTTTCTCTCTGTCTGGAGAGGTGGTATCCGATCCCAGCACAGTCTCAGCATCGTGCAGCAGCTTACTGAACCTTAAGCCATGGCACGACATCTCGGCAAGTAACCACAGCGGCACCCACGGCCCTTTTCCCTCTCGCCGCAAAGGTTCGACGACGTCCGCTAGAGCGTTCGAGAACGTCTCGATGGAAGTTCAGGAAGAACCACTGGATTCTGACAAGCGCATTCGCCATGCCCACAGCCTGGATTTCGGCCTCAGATTCGTGGCAAGCAAGCAGACAAAAAACCTAAAAATTTCTCTGGATCCCTCCAAGCCCCTTGCGGATAGCCGCGGTATGTTTGCGCACCACAAGAACACGACGAAAAAAAAAATCCCCGTACCTGGGTCCTTGCGGCTCCAGATATGGCGTGAACGCCCTCATCATTCCCGGACCGTCCGTTCGATGCAATAGGTCAGAGGCAATCTCAAAGCCGCATGGGGGCCGAGCAGGATTGGCCCGGACGTATCGCGTTTAGCTGGCCACGAGGTGAAGGCAAAAGCGGAGAACGTAGCTTTGGTCAAAGCAACGTCACCTCGTCTCGTATGCACGAGGGTTCTTGCTACGGCCTTCCTGTTGCGACGCTGGGAACCATACACCCGCATATCCAGAGCCAAAGCAAAGCACGCTTGCACAGCATGGCAAGAGTCATTTGCCTATGCCATTGACGGAAGTCTTGCCGCTGCAAGTGCATCGATAAACTCCTTCGCGGTTCCTGTGAATAATGGCTGCAAAACTTGTGCATGTTCAGCGCCAGGCCTTTTTTCACTAATTGCCCTCAAGTGGAACTCATGGTGGAGACGGCTCCAATCCTGATGCGCCGTCAGAGAATCACCCCACAGTTTGGTATTTCTTTCAGAGATCACGAGCGATTCTCTGCCAGAGACCCGTCGAGGAGGGGGTGAGGAGGTCAACCCTTGGAACAGGCGATTTTGAAGACGACGAGCATGTATGAACGCAGCGTGCATTGGATCAGCATGGACGACGATGAGGCTGCGTCCACAGAAATTCGTTTTGGTCGAGCTAAGCCCACGAACCGCCCGCATCCGCTTTGTCGTACATACATATCGAGCTCCAAAGCTGCCTAGTAAGACGGACGGCCGCTAATCCAGAACATACAGACCCGCACCGCCCGCTTGTCAGATTCAGACTCGACCAGGGAGGCGAAATTTCTTGACAATACTTGACGTCCTTCTAACACCATGCGCGGCCTTCTGTCCGAGCACTATGTGCTCGCTACTACGTAGTTTGTGCCTTTTTTTTTTCTCACCCCGTGGGCTATCAGTCTGTTTTGCCATCCGAGTTCCGCCCCACGAGGATCACGAGGGGTAGCGTAGATGAGCATTGGCATTCCTCTGGGGCTACTCCAGTTGGTGTCTTTTCCCCCCTTAGCCCAGATCACAGCGTGCTACAGCCGCATACCGACACAGTGGCCGAGGCCATACATATCCATATCCGTATCCAGATATACACATATATATAGAGTGTTACCCTCGAGGTTCGACATCATCCTAGGAAGACGATCTTCACCTATCCCACATTGCTCTACCAGAACGTCGGGTCTTCCATTTCAAGTTTTCAACCTTTGAACAACCCTCTCTCACCACACCTCTCTCTGTCTCTGTCTCTATCTCTACCTCTGTCTCTCTTTTTCGCTCTTACCCACCATCCCTACCCTGACCATGGCCAAGGTGCAGGACTTTGCCGAGAAGAAGGAGCGTCTCGACGACGAAAGCGGAGGCAGCAATCCTTCCTCGTACTTCCAGGCTCCCGATCTTCCAACGCCAACGCCGCTCGTTCGCACGGAGACGCTTCGTGAGCATGGAGCGCCAATCGACCACGACGTGCCTCAGGCGGCCGCCAAGCCGTCGAACCCGGACCTCTGGTGGTCCAAGGTGCGAAACGTGATGATCGAACCCTTCTCCGAGTTCTTCGGCGTTTTCATCCTGATCCTGTTCGGCGACGGCGTCGTCGCGCAGGTCGTGCTTTCCGAGGGCAAGAAGGGAGACTACCAATCCATCTCATGGGGTAAGTAAGCCGGCGGCCCCTTCGCGGGCCCACAGCTCTCACACGCCTTCGTCACGCTGACGGTCATGGTCAAACAGGCTGGGGCTTGGGCGTCATGCTGGGAGTCTACTGCGGCGGCAAGTCGGGAGCACATCTCAACCCGGCCGTCACGTTTGCCAACTGCGTCTACCGCAAGTTCCCATGGCGAAAGTTCCCCATCTACATGGTTGCTCAGACGCTGGGTGCGTTTTGCGCTTCTGGCATCGTGTATGCCAACTACAAGTCGGCCATTGACAACTACGAGGGCTACGGGATCCGCACGGTGAGTGGCGAAAAATGCCCCCTCTATTCCTACTCCTCCTCCTCCTCCTCCTCCTCCTCCTCCTCTCCTTCTTCGTTCGGTCCTTCGTCCGTTTCTAAAAAGGAAAAGACCATCGCGCTGATTTGTATGGGAATAACCGCAGGTCACCGGCAACACGTCCACGGCTGGCATCTTCTGCACTTACCCGGCCCCGTTCATGACCAGGACGGGCATGTTCTTCTCCGAGTTCATTGCGTCGTCCATCCTGATGTTCTGCATCTACGCGCTCACGGACAACGGCAACATCGGCGCCGGCAACCTCACCCCACTCGGCCTGTTCTTCGTCATTTTCGGCATCGGCGCCTGCTTCGGCTGGGAGACAGGCTATGCCCTTAACCTGGCCCGTGACTTTGGTCCTCGCCTGATGAGCTACTTCCTCGGCTACGGCCACGAGGTCTGGTCTGCTGGCGGATATTACTTTTGGGTATGTTTGAAGCAGAATAAAAAATGGAGAGAGAGAGAGAGAGAGAGAGAGAGAAAGAAAAAGAGATCTCGTCTCGCTGTCTTTCTATCTTCTATTTCCCCCCCCCCCCCCCCCCCCCCCCCCCCCCCCCCCCCCCCCCCCCCCCCCCCCTTCCCTTGCTCGTCCGACATTGACCCCGTGCACTTGCTAATCTTTTCTGCCTCGCAAACCCACAGATCCCAATGGTCTCGCCCTTCTTCGGCTGCACTTTTGGCGGCTTCCTCTACGACGTCTTCATCTACACGGGCGAGAGCCCCATCAACACGCCATGGATGGGCCTCAGGCGGTTCACCAGGCTCACGAAGACGGAGTGGTCCAACTCAAAGGTCTGATACGGCTTGAACGGGGGGGAAATGGGGAAACAAAGAGAAATCCAACGCTCCAAGGAAAAAAAAAAAAGTTCAGACGGAAAGGAAAATCCACTGCGTTTTCGTACTTTTCTCTATCACCCCCCCCCCCCCCCCCAAGAACAACAACAACCCGTATTTTGTTACCCGTCGTCCTTCTTGTCTTGCTTCTTGCCATTCTTCATGACGAAGCTTCTTGGGACGACACGCTCAGTTTTTATCCGAATCCTGCGCCGTCGAATGGTTCCAAGCGATCAACGAAGTGTTTGTTTTTAATGTGTGGGACGGAATTTTGGCGGGTTGGGTTGTGGATTCGAAAGTATTTTGCTTCAAATTTTTTTTTTTCTTTCCCTTTATCTTTTTTTTTCGTCTCCTCTACATCGTATATACAAAGACGAAAGAGACAGAGTAATGCAGCCGTATACTTCGTTTTTGCTTGAACAAGGGAGAGAGAAAAAAAAAAGAGTTCATTTTTCTTTGCCCCCTTTTTCCACATTGCAAGTCAAGGTGATTCGAACCTCCCTTCCCTTTGCCTCAGTAATAGGACCAGCACGGTCCTTCTGCTCACGGTTCATTCTTGCATAAACCGCTCGGACGAGTCAGAGGAAAAAAAAAAAAAAAAAAAAAAAAAAAAAAAAAAAAAAAAAAAAAAAAAAAAAAAAAAAAAAAAAAAAAAAAAAAAAAAAAACAAAGGGAAAGAAAAGATAAGGTATGACAACCAGCTCATCCGTAGCAGCGTGCGACGTGGCTGGTCTGCCGACTCATGTGTATACGGGAACGGGCAGTGCGGTGCTCGACTCGTCGAACGTGTGTGACGGTGTGATAGAGCACGGTTCGGTACGCCTTGGGCTGCGAGGTTTGCCGGTTTGCAACTCTACCGTAGGCCCAGAGGGACGGGAGGACCGGGCGGGAGAAGGACTGCCTCGCGATGGAGCGGGCATTGTTCAGGGTGCCAAAGAAGCCACCAAAGCTTTCTAAGCAAAGAGAAAAGAAGAAGGCCCCCCCCTTCTATTTTGTCGTACGATGATGGTGGTAGTGGTGGTCATGATGATGGATGATGATGCACATGCAGAACGTCGGGCAGGTAATAATGGCCGCGCCCCTTCTCCATTCCACATCACTGGAGATCATTCTCGTGACGCCCCCTCCATTTTGCAGCAGAAACAATGCGGACGCTTCTGGGTCTTTGCCTGCGTTCGCACCAGCAAAGTTCAGACGTTTCATTGTGTTCTCAAGTACATGGCCGTGCGTGATCTAAGCGACGGCGATACACCTTGACGGCTCGCCTCGGCCATCTCTCCCTCCCTCAGATTGATTAGCAGCGTACATTCTCTGGCCGGACTCTTGCCCATCCGCTTCAAGTGTGTGGGGACGATGCCCGCAACTCCTCTTTCCCTCTCAAACGGCACAGAAGGCCGCGCGGGGATTCAACCGCGTCCCACTGATGGACGGTGCAAAGCATATGGCGAGCACGGCGCGAAAACCCCAGCGGCGTAGCGAACAAGCGGATACATCACCGAGGCCTTTGATCCAACACGCGGTTGACATGATACGAATGCCGCGGGGGTCGTTTTCCAGGCCGATGGCGTACAGACACCAGAGGCTTAGAACCCGAGAGATACAGAGAGAGAGAAGGAAACAGAAAAAAAATTGGCGAGCATTTTGACCAATCGCACGATCACCGCGTGCAGAGTTGACCTCCGGATTATGGAATAGTACGTTGCAACGCACCTGTCGCCAGGTGGTCCCACGTCCGAGTCTACCTGGCAAGGAAAGCGAGAGAGGGGCGTGGCTCGAAAAGCTTACTCGAGGTGGCGACATGATGCTCAGCGTTTTGTGCGTGCGTTAAGGCGCGAGCGAGCGGGTCTGGGGAAAATGCTCGCCCTGGTAGCTGCGCGTGCTGATCACGACGCACAAACAACCACACGGACCACAAGAGGCACCTCCCCCCCCCCCGGCTAATCGCTGCGGCTATTGCCCATGTCAGCATCTGATGGGTCTCAGGGAAGCTTGCGGGGTGTGAGCTGGAGATGAAAAGGAAAAGAGAGGGGGAGAAAAATCGAACAGAAGAGTGGGCGCCAAGTCCTCGGTTCCGGACGATGAAAAGCGTATTGCAGCCCTTTTTCGAATTCTGCGGGCGATGGTCACCATGTTCGACATGGTGAAGGATTCTCGTCCTGGTGCAGGACATATGGCCGTGTGTCCCATGATCCTTGAGACTCGTACGATGGCATCCGTAGAGCAGTGAAAATGATCAAGCCACCTCTCTAAGCTTTTCAAACCTTGACCTTTGTTCATCAAATTTTTGCTGACTACCCGACCTCGTTCCAAGGGTGCGCTCGATAAGGCCCACAGTGCTAACGCAGGCTCTTACAAGCCCCCTCGTGCTCAGAGAATTGAAGGTTAGAACCTGGCCTCGTCCTAGTCTGGGAACAAGCATGATGACCATGCGTTCGGTGCCGCGAACAATGTCTGCCCATGCTCAATGAAAAGTGCGTTGGGATGTGTTGAATCCGCAGAACGAACGGAGCAGGGGAGGGAGGAGAAATTCGCTGAGGAATGAAAAAGACTTGAAATGGAGTGTCCAAATAGCTCTGATGCTAATTGCGTGTTAGGCTCATCTAGTCGGAGTAAACATGGGTACAGTTCAGGCCAAAAATGATCCAAAGGGTATAAGGTTGCCGTAGTGACGGGCTTCGGTGCTTGTAACATGTGCGGCGCTCCTGTTAAGTATGGAGAGCTAGCAGCCGAGCAGAGGAGCAGAAAACGAAAACAGAACACATGGACCTTCCCCACTTGTCCTGGCCAAACTATATGTATAAAAAAACAATAACGCTGTGATGGACACGTGCAAGCTTTGACATAGGGGTGGGGGGGGGGGTTTAATTTCCCAATTCCAAGAACACACCCAGCTCTTCCACAACAGACCACCCAACCTGAATTCCATGATACCTTTTTTTATTTTCCCCACTCTTCGCGTGTTCGTTCATGACATGCAAAATTTCAAAATTCTACAGCCTTTCCGCCCTAGACATTGTTCTTGTGAGGGGGCCAGGGGAGTCCCCCTTTTCTTCGTGAAATTTATGAATTCGACAGTATCTATGCTGAATGAGATAGGGGATTCGTAGTAGAGGAAAGAAAACAATGCTGCCTGGGGTGGAGAGGGGAGGAAAAGGGGTGGGGGAATCGGGAGACTGTTACACAAGATTGACCAGGCACCTCTAAAAGGACGTTACCATCATCGCTGGAGAATTCGGCGTTCGCGTTGTAAGAACGTAGGAAAATCGAGTGGTTGGGTATCTATGCGGACGAAAGCGCGTTGGTCATCGACGACGGGTGGGTTTTAGGGAGTGGGGGAGGGCGGTCGTGCCAAAAAAAAAGATGAGGAAAAAAAGGGACGACGTTCCTCTCGTAGGAAAAAAGCGAGAAAAGGCGCTTAGTGACGGCCAAAAGTGTCTGGAGTCTCAAGCTGGTGCGCAACCTCTTGCTTGTACGGTGACGTGTACCAGCTGTTGGTCGCAGCCTTGTACTCGGACCAAAGTTCTTTCATGGTGAAAAGACCGGCCTTGGACTTCTTGTCTTTGTTTCCGTTATCCTTTTCCGTATGGCGACTACTTGTAGAACCTGAGCTGACTGATGCACCACGATCGATGCTTTGTCGAGGACTTACGATCTTTGAACCCTTGGATGAAGTCGGTATCTGACCATCCATGCTGCTGTGCACCCGTGTCGAGCCGGACGTGCTGCTGCTGTTTGTGAGGGAACGCTTTTCGGCGTCTACGCGTTGCTCTTCAGCGGCGCGTTGGTACGTCGTCGTGTACACCGTGTTGGTGGACTCCTTGTACATGTTCCACAGGTCACGCATGGTCGTCTTCGTAGACTTCTTTTCTTTCTTCTTCTTTTCCTTTTCTTTTTTGTTCTTGCTGCTGCTGGATCCGCTGCTCGTGCTGTAGCTGTTCATGCTCGTGCTCGGACGCGTGGACGGGGCCTCGGACGGCGGCGGGAGCATGCGTCTCGCCGAGAGGTCGTCTCTGGGCAACCCGGACTTGACGTTGACAAGGAAGCCGTCGGTGAGCAAGGGTGAGCGTGGAGGGGATTGCGGCCGCGAGTCGAAATTCGACCGGGCAGGCACGCGGACCGTCTCCGAGCTGGTTCCGAGCCGGGGCGTCGGGTGGAAGCGCGTGAACTGCTCTTCGTTCGCATCATCGTCCTCGCCCTCGTCTTCGTCACCGAGTTCCCAAGGGATCGAGTCGGCCATGCTAACACGAGGACCCATGTTGAGACGGTCCTGGGGCGACTGGTACCACTGACTTGACAGGACAGACGGCACTCCGGAGCCGTATCCGGACGATCCTTCGCCGAGGGTGTGCTTGTCCAACTCGCCCACCTCCGACTCGATGGTCATCAGCGTGTTGGTGCGGCTTCGCTGTCCCGACGTGCTCGTGTACGGGGTGACGGAGCGGCTGATTCTCGGTGCCGACTCGGGAGACAGGCTGCGACGCTCGAAGGTAGGACTGCGGGCAAAGGCACGCTCGGCCGAGTGCAGCTGATGGCGGGACCCGTAGTGGGACTGATGCTGCGACAGTTCGCCGTGGAAACCAGGGCGCTGGTTCAACGGCCACGCGTCCGCGAGAGGCGCGGTGGACTGCGACGTCTGGCTTGGCGAGGTCGGGATCGTGGACGGTGACTGGACGCTGTCGGACGCCTGAGACATCGATTCGTCCGACTTCGTGTCGGCGCTGAGATGCTTCAGGTTGCTCGGTCGCCGAGCGTCTGAGGCCGATCGTTGCAGTTGCGGACCGCGTCTCTGGTTGAGCGGCAGCTGCGTTTGGATCCTGTCCTGCGTGGAGGTCGTCTGCTGGGCCGTGTCGGTCCCCGATCGTTTGCGACCGGCATCCGTGAGCATGTCGAACGAGGATGTGCGGGGGACGACGCCTTGAGGCGCCGACGGGTTCGAACCTCGCCGGCCAAAGGCGTTGCCGACCACGACACGGTCCTGGGACTGCGGGGGGATGGCGGGCACGGCCTCGTGGAGGCCGGATTGGCCCAGCAGCTCGGCGCTGGTCTTCCTGCGCAACAGCTCGTTGCTGGCCTGCTTGCGCAGGCGCGCCGTCTCCGGCAGGACCATGATCTGGTCGCGAACGCTCGAGTTGGACCTCTGCTTGCGGGGCGAGGGAAGTGAGTCGGATCGCGGAGCGGGGAAGCGGGACGGGTCCACCTGTGGGGGGGTCGAGGCCGCGGCCTTTGCCGGTTCGTCGTCGCCTCCGACAGGCGCGTCTTGCTGGGTCTGGTCCGTCTTGGGCGGCGAGGCAGAGCCCTGGCGACGGTGCGCGGTGGCGCTCGCGGGCAAGTCCGTGTTTGACGGGTTGCGTAGGATGGATCTCATCGGGCTCTTGGGCGCGGGAGACCTGGATCGGGACGGCGATCGAGAGCCGGAGTCTGTGGGCGGTTCTGGGAGTGGCACTCGGGGGGGAGACGAGGCGGGTGGCTCATGGAAGGAATCTTTGGAAGGACGCTTTGCCTTTTTGGCGTCCTCGTCTGTCTGAGCGGACAGAGAGTCCCTCGAGCCGCTGCCAGACGTGGCGTCCCTCGAAGCCGAATCCGAGGTCGGCAGCGAGGTCGGCAGCGAGGGCGGCGGGGGCATGCCGGGCACGTACTCGAACTTGTCCCCTACGGTGGGCGAGCTCTTTCGCATCTGATCCTTGGACCGTTTTGTGATAATGGACTGGCCGTCCTTGACGGAGTCGGACTCTTCGGGCGCCAGGGAGAGGAAGGCAGGGCGTTTGACGCGTTTGGCGCTGGTGGCAGCGTCGGCTGAGCCCTTTTTGGAGGCGGGCGCGCTGGCGTGCGACTCGTGCAGGGCGGGGTCGCCGTCGGCATCCCTGTTCTTGGACGAGACGCTGCTGGTGGTGACGGCGGAGGAGGAGGCGGTCGACTGGCGCGACTGGGCGGTGGCGGCCGAGGCCAGGCTCGTGGTGGAGGCGGTGTTGGACGGTTGCGCGATGCTGGTATAGGTAGCGGCCTGCTGCATGGCGGAGCGGATAGACAGCGGCTTGCGGGCGCGCGACGAGCGCGAGCGCTGAAGCAGGGTTGCGTAGTTGGCCGTGTTCCCAATGGCGTCGCCATCGTCTCCGTTCAGGTCGGTACTGCACGAGCGGAAGCACAGGTTAGCGGGTCTGATCGGAAGAGGGATAGGAAGCGCAGCCGATAGACTGACTCGTGGGCGGCTCTGATGAGGCCGGTGAGACCGGTCTGGTACCCTCGCAGCTGCAGAAGCAGCTCTCGCATCTCGTCCTCTTTCCAGAGAACACGGACCCTGGCCATGATGCCCATCTGCTCGGTGGGGCTCAGGGGGGCTCCGTCGACGTATTCCTGCAGCTCGACGGCGTACTCCTCGATGACAGAGAGCGTCAGCGTGCATCCCAGGATGATGGCCTCGGTGGCGCGCGTGAGCTGTTCCTGACGGCCCTCTGCATTGGCGATGACCGCACTCCAGTCAAAGGTTCGCAGCTGGGCGAGCGCAACGTGGATGAGGCTGCATTCCGTCGCGATGGACGTCATCATGAGCGGCGCACGCTTGAACTTCTTGCCGACATTGTGAAGAATGGTCACAATGTGCGAGCAAGTGGTCAGCAGAGGGGCGATTGGAAACGCGGAGCCCGCTACGTCCATGATTGCGGTTCGGGTGCGGACATGGGACGGCGGCGCGGGGCAAGACGATGACGGCGAGAGGAGCAGGTGGCCGACAAGAAGTCGAAGAGAAGAGTCAAGACAGCATCAGGCGGCAGCAACCAGAAACGAGAGATGAACGAAGATGAATTGGAGGATGTGGGCGCGCGGGTGCGTGGGTGTGTGATTGTGGGTACGTGCGTGGATATTCAGCCCAAAAAAAAAAAAAAAAAAACACAGAAGGGAGGGGAGGGACTCGATCGAGAAGCTAGGCGACGAGGGAGAAGAAGAGGAGGAGAGGAGGGAGAAGGGAAGGGAGGAGAAGAAGAACAAGAAGAAGCAGCAAAAATCAAAAGAAGAAACGGGAGTGGGAGTGCAAGAGGGAAATAATCGTACGCGATGCAAGCAAGACGACAGCCGGCATCAGCACCAGCACCAGCAGCACGGGGAGGACGAGGACGAGCCCAAGCAGCGGGGGTTAGGGGTAGTGGGTAGTGGGTAGAGGTTGGTGGTGGTGGTAGTAGTGGTGGTGGTGGTGGTAGTGGTCGTGTTAGGCGTGGTAGCAGCAGCAGCAGCAGCAGCAGCAGCAGCAGCAGCAATAGTAATAAGAATAACAAGCGTAGTAGCAGCCGCAGAAGCAAAATAGCATTCGCCCGTTGGATGGACGCAGTAGCGGCAGCCGTTTGTGAGGACGCCACCAGCACACGGGCCAGACACAATCAGCCGGGCGGGACCAGCGGCCGGTCGCCAAAGCGGGACACGGACGGGACAGGGACAAAGCACAATAGATGTCTGGGGCAGAAAGCACAGTGGGGACGGCAGGAACGAAAACACACACGGATCGCGAGCCGGGGAAAACAAAAAGAAAGCAGCGGAGAAAAAGCAAGAGGAAGAATGGAGGACGGGCACAGAGACGGGCAGGACGAGGGTGGTGATGGGAGCCGTGGGAGCAGCAGCAGGAGGGACCGCCGCAGCGGCAGCAGTAGCAGCAGCAGCAGCAGCAAAAAGAGCCACGGGAGACCGCGTTGCCCGGGCGTGGCTCGTACGCTCGCCATCACAGTTGCACGCAGCACGCCCAGAGCACCGCCGGCACCAGCACGAGCACCAGCAACCAGCACCATGACGGTGATGATCCACAGCGCCGGAGCGAAGGCGCTCCAGAAGCCAAACGGGAAAGGGATGCGAACGTCGAACAGGAAGAATGAGAACATCGTGGCGCCACCGCGCACTCGCTCGCAAAAGACGCATGCGCGACAGGGGAGGAAGGAGCGAGCGAACACTCCAGCCCCACCCAGCCCAGCCCAGCCAACCAGCGATCGGACGGGGCAGGAGCGATGGCGTACATGGTGCGTCCACTACGGGGCCTCCCACCGCGGTCGAGCACTCCCGGCTGCGCTGTGGCGGACGCTGCAGCTGCGCTCCGGATGTGTGCTAGCGCGGGTCTGCGCGAGAAGCCACCGGCGGGACCAGCAGTGGCAGCAGTGGCAGCACGAGCACCACCCAGCACAACCACACCAGCACCACCACTGCTCCAACCGACAGTGCCACTTCCACCACTAGGCCACAAGCGGTTGTGCGGAGCCCTGGCGTTGGCTCAAGGATCCGTGCCCCGATGGCGGCACTGCGGCTTTACCAGTTGCCCGGGTCGTGGGCAGGAGCCTTCTGCAGCCGAGCGGCGCCAGGCACCGACGCACCGACGCTCCACGAGTCGCTCTCCCGCATATCTGCACACACGCACACACGCACACACACACACACATTATTCACAAAAGAGTCTGCCCGCCAGTCCTGGCCATCGAAGAATGCCGTACGACGATTCACGCCCGTTCTCAGCTGCACAGGACTCACTCCCGTCCATACGCTGTTTGCATGGCTCGCTTCTCGATCTTCTCCAGTCCACTCGTCACCTCTTCTTCCCGATTCTGTTCCGCCCCCCACCTCCCGAGCTGCCTCTCCCGCTAACGCTGACGTTACTGCTGCTAATGCTACTGCCGCTGATGCTACGACTGCTACGCTTGCCACTCTTGCTCCCTTTTCGCCGTTCCCGCCTTCTCTCGCGCTCTGTCAATCCCTTCTTCCACAGATCCTGCTTGCTCGTGCCCTTCGACAATGGCAATGGCTGGCAGTGCCCGTCCACGCCATGCACGACCGACCGTGTATTCTGTACGGGTGCAGACTCGCTACCTTGCTTTAGCTTACCTGTGGCTCGCCTGCCCAAAACCACCAACCCCCCTGTGACGACCCAATCGTGGACCCTGCGACACTAGCTGCCCAAACAAAATTGTGCCTTCTGGACTCCACGCTCCTACAAGTACACCACAGGCCACGACTTGTGCGTACCCGCGTCGTATCTCCGTCAAGCTGCTGGAGGTCCGACTGCTTGTGCTGAGTCGGCATGATTCGATCTAGCTACTACGGCTCGACGAGTGAGAGAGACCGGGCACGCATGAGAAGCGTACGTCGCTGTCGCTGTTCTCGACTGCTCCGTGCCTAGATGACGCAATGGCCGCCATGCTCGACGTCCAGGCCGTGCTCTTTGTTGCGTGCTTGCCTTGGTCGCCAAAACGTCCAAGATAAAGGCTTTGTCTGTGCGGCTGTCTGTGGTTGATCTTTGACGGGACTCGTGAAGCCACACTAGCGCACAGTCAGTGCTTGTCGTACAAGTATGGGGGCAGTCAGTCGCAGTCGTCGTAGTCCTCGTGGCTCTCTTGCTGTCAGTTTCGCCTTTGTGCACCGCGGTGGGGGGGGAGGATCTGAGTGCGCGGTTCCCCTGCTGGGTCCTGCTTTCTGGCGGGGCCGAAACTGCAGCTGCGGCCCACAAGGCAAGCAAGTAATCACGACGGCGCCAGCAGCAGCAGCAACAGCAGCAGCAGTCTTGCCTGGCCCCTGCAAAACGAGCTGCAGCTGCTGACTTCTGAGGCTCTCCGCTCTATCTGGGCCCCCTCTGTTGCCCACCCATACCCACTGCTGATGTCCCCAAGACAAAGCCCTATAGGCATTGTTCCGCCAGTACTGAGGGCGCCCAAGCACAGCGCCCCCCCCCCCCCCCCCCCCCCCCCCCCCCCCCCCCCCCCCCCCCCC